GGGGGTCACAGTGAAGGAGTTGGAGCCGATCTTGTGGAGGAAGCAGTTGGCCTGGGGAGCCGCGGCTTTGGGCGCAGCCATGGGGGCGGGGGGAGAGACGGGGACTGCCGGTGGGGTCGCAGCCCTGGGGGACACCGGGACCGCCTGGGGACCCGCGGGCTGGGGGGCGGCCGGCCGGGGGAGGGGGGGCGGCAGCGGTCGGGGGGCCGCAGCGCGGGGAGAAGCGGCGCGGGGGGAGGTCGGGGCGGCCTTCGGGACCGAGGGGCGGGGGGAGGTAGGCGCCGCTTTGGGGGGAGCCGAGGAGCGCGGGGAGCCCGGAGCCACCGGAGGGGGAGCGGCCCCGGCCGGCGCTTCCCCGCCCCGGCGACGGCGGCCCCGCGGTCGCTGGCCGAACTTCTCCAGGAGGCGGCTGACGGTGCCCGGCTCGGCGGCCTCGAGAGGCTCCTGCGCTTCGGCCGCCTCGTAGATGAGGACCTGGTCGGCGCGGATCTCGGCGACGGCCGCTCCCCGACGGGCCAGCAGCTCCCGCAGCGGGTCGGGACGGCGCGGAGGGGACGCGGCGGGAGGATCGCGGCGGCGCCCGGACGGCGCTTCCCCGTCGGCGAAGCAGGCGGCGGCGTCGGGCTGCGACTCGATGATGAGGATGTTGTCGGCGCGGATGGTGCGGATGCCCGGCACGGCGCTGTACAGCTCCAGCAGCTGCTGCAGCGGCCGCGCCGCCTCGGGGCCGTGCCCGGGCAGCCCCCGCCGCAGCCGCCGCCGCTCGCTCTCCAGCCTCATGAAGGGGTTCTCTCGGAGCGGGCCCAAGCTCTCGGCCACCACCAGCCGCTCGCCCGTCCCCGCCGGGCCCCGAGCCGCCGCCGCCGCGGACTCCGTCTCTCCGGCGGCCGCTCCGGCCAGCTTGGCCCGCTTCCGCTCCAGGATCTCCCTCTTCCAGGCGGGCTGTGCCCGCGGCCCGGCACCGAGCGGCGGCGGCTCCGCGCTGCTCATGGCGGCGGCTCTCGGGGCGCTGCCGCGCACGGCCGCCGCGTCCTCCCCGTCGTCCTCCTCCTCCTCCCGCCGCACCTGAGCCGGGCACTGCGCAGCGCCGCCCCCGGGCCGTCCTGCGGGGCGGGGCGGGCGGCCCCGAGGGCGGGAGGGCAGCGCGGCCCCGGGCGGTGCGGAAGGCGCTCCCTGCGGCCGGGAGGGACGGAGCCGCCCGGTTGTGGGGCGGCTTCGGAGTGATGGAATACCGAGAGCGGGAGCGGGCGGCAGCGCCCGCCCCAACCCTACGGCTGAGAGCGGCGACCCGCCCGGCCCTCCAGTCTGTCCAGGACTGCCCGCGAGTTCTCTCTGCGCTGCTGGGACTCGGTGGCTCCTCTCGATTTAGTGTCATTGGTAAACGTTAAAGAGAACTGGCCCTCAAACGCAGCCCTGTGGATCCCGCTGGTGGCTGATCTCAAGCAAACTGTCCCAGCAGGGCGTTCACAACCACGCGGGACTCCATGCACCACGATGGGTCCCGTGTGCCCCAAACTTTGCTTCCAAAGGCCACATGTTCCCAGGTCCTGGTGCTCATCCACCCTGCCCAGAGCCACAGCACTTTACCCCACCGAGGGCAGGCTCAGGAGAAGCCTTGTTGCCCTCTGCAGCCCCCTAACAGGAGGCTGTAGCCAGGTGGAGATCCGACCTCTTTTCCCATGCAACAGCAATAGGGTGAAAGGCAGTGGCCTTCAGTTACACCATGCGAGGTGCAGGTTGGATATTAGGAAAAAATCCTTCTCAAAAGAGAGGTGATGCAACAGAACAGACTGCCTGGGGAGGGGGGGAGGTGTTCAGGAGCGTGGAGATGTGGCACTGAGGGACATGGTTGGTGGGCATGGTGGGAGTGGGCTGCAGTTGGGCTTGGTGCTCTCAATGGTCGTTTCCAACCTTCACGATTCTGTAAGTCAACCAAAGAAAAAAAATAACCCAAATCTGTTATTTTTTTCCAATAATTTGGGCCCTAGACTGGGCCATTTAGGAGGAACACAAGAAGGAGCAGCCGAGGAGGAAGGGGATGAGAGGTGTGTGTGAGCATCACCCCACTGTCGGCTCAGCTGTGGTCTGAGAAAGAGCAAAAGTAAGTGGGCGTCAAGGAAAGGAGCCCACAGTGGGCATCAGAGCAACATTAAGAAGCATTTTAAGGAAAGCTCTGAATGAGGCAGTGAGGTTTCTGTGCTGTGGGCAGCAGGCATGGCTGGGGAAGGCAGTGAGGAGCAGGACCAAGCTGAGGAAAGTGAGCACTGCAGGACATCAGACAGGAGCGCAGGAAAACAGTTCTTATGCTGCTTTCTCTGCTCTGCCATTGCTGCTCCACTCAAAAGCACAGAGAAAAGCATGGCCAGTGCTCTGCTTCCAGGCAGCCTGTTATCAGCTGCCACCACGTTTCGTTGGGAAGTCCGTGAGATCAGGAAACAATTGGGAGCTCAGGGCTTTCTATGCCTCAGATAACACTGTGTGCTGAAATCCTCCGCTGTGAGGCACGGAGGGGAACGGCACGCGGTGACGTGAACAACCTTTGCCCAGAACCGTTCAGTCCCAGCCTGCTGGGGCGTTACGGAGCCGCACCCCAGCACAACGTGGGTGCTTCACCAGCTCAGATACAGCCCTGCTTACTGGAAGGAACGTTGCCTCCTGCTGATAAGGTTCTACCTTTGCACTCCTGAGACAAAACGGAGCAAATTGCACACATTCAACCAGACCTGGAAAGTGAGCGGCTGCTGGAGTTTTATTGCCAACGTTGCCATTGTGCTGGAAAGGGTCCAATGTCCACCTCTGCTGCTGCCTGGCTGCGTGTGCAAGCCCAAGCTCGACGGAAGGAAGCAGCTCTTTGCAGTTAAGCTTTAATAACACAAGGCTGGTTTAAAGTTTGCACACGCCTCTCAGTGTGCCGTCCTGCATCGCAGCCCTCACGGCATCCCACAGCGGTGCCCTGGGTTGAGCCTGAGGACAGGGCAGCGGGCAGTGACGTTTCCTGGGGTGACTCATGGCTCAGGCTCTTACAGAGCCAACAATGTGCCTTTGTACTCGTGGATCTCAGTGGATTTCTCTTTCATGGTCTTGTCTGTTGGGTTTTCAGCCCATGTAAAGCCCACAAATCCCGAAATAATGAATCCCACGGTTGATCTGCACCTGGTACAAAGGAAACGTCTCCCTTTGTGGGGACTGAAGCTGACATCTGGTGGTTTTGTTGTGTGCCCTCCTGCCTTGGTGGAAAAAAACGCGGCCGTTATTCAATTCCTCCCCTGCCAGCAAGAATTGTGGGGCCTTCTATCATAGTTCCCATCAACTGCCTTTGTTCTAGGCTGAGCATGAAACAGCATGAGGGACTGGAAAGTGAAACTTGGCCAACTATTGAACGCCCTGGAGCTGATCCTCATTGCTGCATTTACACCTCTGGATTCTGCTGGAGCAGCAGCTGAGCACCCTCACTAAGAGGCTCCTGGGAATCCCATTCAGCTCTCAGATTCTGGCACAAACGCTCGATTATAAAACCCAGGTGTGACATTGACGTGGGACAGGGCCGGGGCTGTGTGATGGCAGAGTGCCACTGTGCAGCATAGCTGCATGGCTGTGCAGGCAGCAGCAGGATGCAGTGTGTCTGGTACGTCAGCGCCAGGCCCACACCCAGCAGCTGGCACTGATAGGATGCACGGGGACAAGCCCAGGTGCAGCCAGGTGTGGAGAAAGCAGGGAGGGAGCTGGGCAGCAGGAGTCAGACGTGTGTGATTTCCCCCTTCTCGCCCTTTGTTATGGGGCAGTGTGAAAATCCACCTGCAGGGCCCTGGGCTTGTCCCACGTCACCTGCATGAGGAGAGAGGGAAGAAGGTGAGAGATAAAAATAACCCTTTGCATCTGGGCTTCTGCAATGTGTTTGGCTTTGCACCCCGTGACACTGATTTAAAAACAGTGCAGTATGGAGATTAAATGGCTCCGGAATAAGGAATAAAGGCAGGATTTCTGGCCACCAGGTTACTCAGGGCACCGGTGACTGGAGAAGGAGAACAGGGCCAGCTCTCCGGCACAGGTAGTGGTGGGGAGGTGGAAGTGATTTCCATCCTCTGCCACTGCCGAAAGATGGACAGCAATGTTTCCAAATGGGGAGGATGCAGACACAGCTGCTGAAAGAGGATGAAGATGCCAGAATGAGCAACAGTGCCCTCAAGGACGGCAGCGAAGGACGGGAGCGCAGCTCTGTGTGCTTAGAGGGGCTGCAGTTATGGCACTTGGCGAAAGGCGAACACACCTGAGCACACATTTCAGCAATGCAGATAAAGGGAGAGCTCACAGCCGGAGGCTGGGACCGCAGCTGCTCACTTCAAGTGCAACAGACAGTGGCTGATGGAACTTGATGTCTTCCATCCTCCCAGGTGTGCTGAATGTCTGTTCACTCTGTCCCCACCGCAGGATCTGCCTCCCCCTCAGTGTCCCTCATTGAAACCACTGACAGCTTTTGCTTTTCTCCCCGTGCTGCTCCCCAGGGCACGGTGCTCACCCTGGCTCTGCCCTTTACTTTTCAGCGTTTCTCTCTCTGCTGCCTTTCAGAAGTGCCTGGCGCCGGTTCCTCCCTCTCTGCTGGCACAGCACACGCTTTTGCCAGGTGGCATTTCCTGGGCTTACCGACTCAGCCAGAGAACAACAAAAGAAAGAGAAAAAAAAAAAAAAAAAAAGAAAGAAAAAAAAGAGAAAACCTGCTTTCCCAGAAACGTCACTTTTTATTAAATCACATCTTAAAACCTAGAAACATTCACGTCATTGAAACCTGCTTATCACACACAAAGCAGCAGATAGGCTCAGAGGAACGCTACGGGCGGCAGTGCGTTCCTGCACGGCGCAGGGCTGCTCCCAGCACAGAGCCAGCCTGCAGCCCGGCCGTGCTAACAGCTTCCTTCCTCCTCCCCAGGGAGCAGCCTGCTGGTGTGGGGCCTGCTGAGCTCACAGGTGGCAAGCTCCATTTTCCAGACTCTCCCTTCAGACAGCTTTTGCCTGCAGCCAGCACAGCCCTCCATCCTGGGGCTGACATCTGCAACTCCGACCAGCTGAGCAAAGGAACTGGAAATGAGAACTGCTGTCTGAACTCTGCAGAAATAGTTGAGATATTAAAAGTACACTGACCTCCCAGGCCTGCAAGCACGGTTTTTGCTGTGGCTGTTGCTTGGCATCACAGCTGAAGTCGCCCAATTCCAGGAACAGTGTTGTTAAAGAACAACAGGAAGCACACAGTGGAAAATCTGTGGCCCCTTGGTGCTCACTTAGGTACAATTCCAGTGCATTTCCCTGCATTGTGGCACACAGAGCTCGCTTGGTTCCTACAGCCCTCCCCAGCTCAAAGCCCAATAAAGGGAGGTCTCATTTGGCAAGCAGAGTCAGGGGGAGCACAGGGACACGGCCTGCACAGTGAGCAGCGTCCCCATGCAGAGCACCTCACCCTGCTGTGTGTGTCTGAGATGGCTTTAGGGCATCTCAAAAGTCAGGGTAAGGATTCCTGTGCTGTACTCGAATTCCCAGCTCTGCACCGGCAGGACTTTTGATTGCAGACCCCAAAATCAACAGCCCCCCACTCTCCCTTGAAGCTTTTTGAACACCACCTGTGTGTACCTGTGCTGTCCTGAGCCAGCAACGCATCCCCATGCCAACAGCCCTCTCAGCACTGCTGCAGTCCCGTTCCCCAGGTAAAGATCATCCCTGCATACAGCTCATCACACCTACACACAGCCATGGGAAGATGACTGTCAGACACACAAAAACCAATGACAGCAGGGGCAGGGGAGGTGCTGTGCTGGCAGCTTATTGCTCACACTCAGCAGCTCACACGATGGGCTGTGCTGTTAGAAGGGGAGCACACGTAGCTCTGCTGCTGGGAATGCATCTGGGGCCACTGCTGCTGCCGTAACCATCAGCTGCTCTGGATGCAGAGAGCACATTAACTAAGCGCTGCTGCCTGACCATCACTACATCACAAGTCCCTTGATGCTTTCTATACGCCCTTACATATTTCAGTTTTAAGGATGCTCTATAATCAGTACCGTGATGTGAAAAATTACCAGGTTGTGTTAGTTCTTTGAGATGTACTCAATATTTATGGAAAAAATGCAACTTATTTTCTCTTCAGAGAATATAAGATATGGATCAGATATGGACTTTGATGTCTGTAATTTCATTACTTCCAGTCTTCCAGGTTTTGCACGCTGATGGGAAGTACAGAATTTACCTTTGAATCAAAGCAGCTACCAGTTCCTATAGCTGGGAGATTAGACAGCCAGCCAGCCCTGCCATCCTGCTGATCACACAGCACAATTACCCCGGATAACAGCAATCACTGTCAGGTTCACAGCCATTAAACCACCCATGTACTCACTCAACTCCAGCAAACACAGTTAGCAGCAGGCTGATTTCTCATCAAAACCGTAACAGTTTCCAGTTGACTTTGGCTTGAGTTTCCAGGCCTGAGAAATAAAACACAGTGCCATGAAAGACACAGATGGCTGCAGATGCTCAGTGATTGGTGGGACAGAGCACAGATCACAAAGTACTCTATTTTTATAGATGGCTTAGAAGATGGCATTGCCTGTCCATGTCCCCAGGGAGGATATCTGTGTGTCACCCTGCAGGAAGGTCTGCCTGCATCACCAGGTCCAGTGAACGTCAGGAAAACCAGCACAGAGTGACTCAGCTCAGCGTGTGGCTGCAGATCTGCTTCCTGCTGCTGGCAGTGGGGCTGCAAGGCACAACCCGGCACAGCCTCTGCTGCATGGCAACCCGTGCCAATTGCCAAAGGGCCTGGAAGGATTAATTTTGAATGTTAGTAACATCGCATCCTGAACCGAAGCACTGCGGGTAATGCATGCACTCCTAAAGTGGATTACATGGGGAGGTTGGTGGCCCCGCCTGTGGCGGGGGGCTGGAGATTCATGGTCCTTGAGGTCCCTTCCAACCCGGGCCATTCTGTGATTCTGTGGGTTGTGATGAGTTGAATGTTTATGCAGAGAGCAAGCAGAGCGAGTCTGCTGTGCGCCCCCTGGCAGGGCCTGGGCTCAGGATGCCACCTGCAGCTCTCACCGTGCTGGGGCTGCTCAGCATCACTGCCTTCTGCTCTTCTGACCGCCCCAACTTGTGCTGCCTGGAGGTGATGAAGCAGTGTTTGCAGTCACCCTCAGCAGAGCCCTGGGAAGAGGAACCCACAGCCACAGCTCACTAACACAGCAGTGCCCCGAAGCAGCAGCAGCTATTTGCAGAGCAGATATATGCCAAGAGCTGGAGATGCAAACACAGCACAGAATGGTGATGTTGCCTCGAGGGGTGACGTGAAAGCACAGACAGATGTTTTGTCCAGAAGCCTCTGGAGCAGGAAACCTGTGTGCAGCTCCAGACAAGTCCACGCTGAGAAATGAGGGACAAATTCATTTCCAGAGTGCTCTCAGCAAAGCAGCACTGCTGGGAGGCAAGCAGAGCTCCCCAGGGACATGGGATGAGGCTCAGGGAGCTCCTGAGGTGCTCGGAGGTGGAGGGAGTGGGAACCCACAGTACACACAGCAGGGCCAGGACGGGCTGTTTGCCTTCTGCAGTCAGATGTTTCTCTGGAGCTACACAGACTGGTATGATTTTATGGGTTTAATGCAATAGCAGGGCTGGTCTGCTAATTCATTCGTTTGCCATCCCAGGCCTGGAGGTCAGTTGCAAAGGAAGCTGGTAGCTGCAGTGTGAGGAGAGATGCAAAAAGCTCTAACAGTTTTCTGACTTTCTCTGTCCCTTAGGGCACCAATTTCTCTTCCTTCTCATCCTTCCCAGCCAATAGAGAAGAGAAAAGCCTCTCTAGGAAGCCCTGTACAGGACAAGTGCTACAGCCAAAGAGATGGGCATCCTCAGCTTCTGGAGCAAGGCGACCGAGCTGCCAGGGCTGCTCCCAGTCTGAGCCCAGCAGAGCTCTCTATTGGCATTCCTCAGTAGGAAGGGTAAGTAAAGGGCTGGAGTCACAGCCTGCACTTTGCTGAGGTGCTCCCATGTAGCTATTCCAGTTTATCCCACTTCTCTCCAGGTTAACCAGGACTTGCACTGCACATCATGGTTTTTCCAGCCCCCGCTAAGGGCAAATCCAACCCCTGGAGCTGCAGGAGCAGCAGGCAAGCAGAATGGCCGTGCTGGGGCAGAGCCCAAAGCACAGCACAGCAGAAGGGCTGCAGATCCCCCAGAAGAGCAGGTTAACGTGGGCACAACCATGCTGCAAGCTGCTCCCCAGGATCCCCTTTCTTACACGGCAGCTCCAACTCAGGCAGCTATTAGTGTGTGTGAGCAAAGTAGTTCCATGGCTTCAGGCAGACGCATCCCAACAGCGCAGTTCAAAGCTGGAGGAAGCACAGAGAGGCCTTGGGCAGGACAGACTGCACTCAGCTCCGACAGCAGCATGCACACAGGTCGCCCTGTGCAGCCTGGTCCAGCTGAGGAGTCACAGGCTCTATTTGTAATGCTTACACTTTTTTGTTTCCCACCCTATTCTCTGCTGATTCCTTTTTTCCCCCAACAGCCGCTTACAAAATTCAAGAGGTTAAAAGGGGAAGAATTACTTTTTTTCCATCTGAACAGTCAACGCTTCAATGACGCTACTTGCACAGAAAACATCAACACTCTGCTGTCTCCCCAGTCACAGCTTTGAGAGTGTTTCATCTCTCGAGTCAAAAGAACGCTACAACAGAAACAATACGCTCATGTCATAAACATCACAAGCTATGTTGATAATAGATCTTTGGAAAAGAGAGGAACGCAGTCAGTTTGTCATTACACTGCACCACAGTCAGCTGCACCAGAACAGCGCGTGCTGCTTGTTCCAACACACACCTTCCTACAGTGCTTATGCAAGAAACACCTTTCTACTTTGCAACCCGAGTTCTACAAGTGGTCAGTGCTAATAGATACACAATAATTGTACAGACAAATCACTGAAGTGGGGACATAAATGGGCCCTTTCCCAGATATAGAAGGTTTTCAATAGTTCCACAATGCTACATCCATGCTACCAAGTTCACCGAATTGGGATTTCACTTCAGAAAAGAAAGAGGAAGAACAAGTTGTCAGTCTCCAGTGAGGAGCAATAACCATAGGAGGTAAAAGGGTCACAAAGGGAGAATTTTGTATCAGCATTTTAATCCTGCCACGACCACGCTCTAAATAACGCGTGACTTTGCTTACTGAACCTGTGGCTCCCACCTCTCACAAGCACAGCTGGTAGAGGCTGCCACGCTAAGGAACAGACAATTGGTATCCATGTGGGTTTGGGGTTTAAATCTGGCATTTTCTGCCAAAAATCACAGCCTGTCCCCTTCACTGCAGGTCTGGAAACCCAGCCAGCTCAGGGGCTGGAGCCCAGCAGGCAGAGAAGCAGCTGTGAGCTGTTTGGTTCAATGCGCTGCCTTCACGGCTCCAACCTCTCCCTCTCTCCCACTATTCCTCCCTTTACACACCATATGTACATTCTTTCTTCAAAAGTTTTGCTACGAAACTGCTCTAAATGTACAGGGTTCAGCAGTTCCAGCCAGCAGCCTGCCCCCAGGATTACACCACACACATCACAGAGGGAAGGAGTACTCTACAGATCAGAACAACTACTGCTTTTTGCAAGTATTTAAAGCAACGTCTGTACACATATTTGCCATCGCGTCACAATCTGATAATTTAGGTCCCAGGAAATCAGGAAAACAATCCTAACCTGGAAAACAATCCTAATCCTCCCTGTTCACCTCCAGTACATTTTACTTATGTAAGAAATGGAGTGTATCCCCTCCCAGGAGAGCCGGTGACCTGCACGGACTGCAAGTGGTATGGAGTTGTCCTCTGGAGAGCTGCAGATGGAGAAAACCAAACCAAACCCATCCCAAAACAAAAATCAGTCCCTGTGCTAAAGGAACACAAAGGAAATCTATTCCAAAATAGATCCCTCAAATGTCAAGTACAAATCTGGGCTCTCAAACCACAGCAACAAAGCCCTGCGTTTGCTTTGCCCTGCACAGGAAGGGATGTGAGCAGCTCTGCCCAACAAACAGGTCTTTCTAGCACTGAAAAGAGGAGATCTACGCCCAAACAACTCGCAATCAAGTGAACACAGGGAAGATTCAATCTCATGCTACAAACCCGTGCTGAACTCTTCAGGAAGCATTTCTTCCCAACCTCCTGGGAGGGTTTCTGATGGCCTGAACCCTCACTGCTCAACACAGCAGCCCCAAAGAGCCCATCTCTCAACACGTTGCAAAGTACTGGCGTGAACAATTACCATGGCTATTAATTTCTACTTCATTTTTATATCATAGTGAACCTGGCCGAGGCTTCCCAGCCAAGTACCGTATTTCTAACCTAAAATATTTCAGCAAAACTAAAGTCACATAGTTTTGCAAGCAGCAAAATAGAAAGTAACAAAGTTGTGTCTAACTGGAGGAGAAATATACATTCGTGAGAGCACATACAATTTGTGCAACACAGCTACTCTGAAAGTAATGAACCAAACCGGATTAATCAATGCAGCAGACATGCAGGGTCTGCTAGGTTACGTTAAAACCATGTTTGCTGGTGATTAAATATGTCTACAGAAGATATATTACCATTCTGAATATATTTTCAAGCAGACCAAAAATACCTCATCTATTGGTTACTGGTGTGTTATTTTCAACTAATTAAATACCAGGAGGGGTTTCTCCCTCCTCTCTATAAAAATTGCACTTATTTTCTATTAAACAAAACCAAAAAAAGTTAGACTTCAATTCTATATTCCAGTATATTCACACTGACACTGGATCGTCTTGATGTCAGCCTGCAGGAGTAGGTGTAGCAGTCCTTGCTCTCCAAGATCCCCAGGCACAGAAGGTCCCATGAGTACAAAACCTTCCTTCCTCTGTGCTCTGGTCACTTCTTCATTGTAGTGCACGGGTAATTTATTTTTTATTTTTTGTAAGAAAACCTGAGCTTTAAAAGTCTTTAAAAGGACCTGGAATCAAATCTGGCCCATTCTGACCCAAAACAGCTCAGTTCTGCAAGGAACTCCATCCTGTCCTCACTTCACACAGCTCCTCCTGAGACACCACGGCTCTGACCCGAGGCCAGCGAGGCGTCAAACCCCTTCCCCTCCAGTCTCTCTTGACCCAGGAGACTTTCTTCCCGATCCACTTCCGAGGGCTCCTTCTTCCCTCCCTTTAGCACTGCAGCCTCCTGTAGGGCTCCCTGTGCCAATAAAAGAGTCTCTCTGCAATAAGCATGACTTCTTGGACACTGGTGATCAACAACTTCTTGCAAAGTCTTCTCCGGATCATAAAATGTCATCGTAATCCAATAGTTTAGAGTGCTGGCGGGTCTTCCAGAGGCGGTAAAGGCGGAAGTCAAAGTAAGTCTCAATCATTTGCTTACCTAGAGATGAAGCAGAGGGCTGGGTTACACACTGAAGCAAGACAGAGAAACAAGACTGAGCAAAAGCAAAACGGAACAGCACACCCATATGGACAGGGGCACAGGAGAACCTGCCAGCATGTCTCATTTGGAGAATAGTGACATGTAGCATGCACCCGGGGCATGTGAAGGTGCCTGTGAGAAGCAAGCACCTTTTTAGCCATCCTCAGACCCTGAAAGGCTCCTTATAGTCCCCAGGCAAGGTTGGTCTGTGGAGGTGGGAACTGAACACAGCATGTGTCTCCAGACTTGGAACCTCTGCGCTGACTGCAGGAAGTGGAGCAGCAGACAATGGCTCCAACAGGCTGCAGCAGGCACCACTCTGAGAGTTCAGACTGTTACACATCAAGAGTCAACTCGCTGTAAAATCTGGGGGGAATCAATGAAATAATTAACGTGGAAAATTCAAAACAAAAACTGCGGGTCTGGGGGGAAAATGAACGTCTACCAGCTGCCCCTGTCCTGCAGAGCTCTCTCTGCTGGCAGCAATAGGCTCAACAGGATGCACTGCTGTAAGTCCTGCACCTCGGACTGCAGGTGGGCTCTCGTGAGGCGTTGCAGGCTGAGCACTGCACTCAGGGGCACTGCTGGACACAGCAAGTGGCACTGGGAGACACAAGGCACAAACAACCCCGGGCTCAGGGCTCAAGGAAGAGATTTTCGCTTTTGAGGCCTGATTAAGATTAGTTTCAGATGACTTTGAGAAGGATTAGAGGGGTTACGCTCTTAGTGCGCCCCAGACTGATCAACGGGATAAATTCAGACAGTCTTCAGCCCAGCCCCCCGGATGATCAGCTGCTCAAGTACACACACAGAGTCCATTGCCTTGCCTGCTGGGCTGTGCAGAAACCCAGGAATTTCCCTGCAAGTTGCTTCTTGTCACTCATGTACAGGCCTGTTTACTTGGGTTCTGCACAGCCAAGCCTTGGCAGGACAGGAGGACACGCACAGGGAATGCTGCACAGCACTGATGTGCTCAGCTCCTGTACACTCCTACATGGGTAAGAGGGAGTTAAGAATAAGCCAGCAGCATCAATGCCAGCTGTGTGCAGCACAGGAAGTACCCAAGAGCTTACAGCCTAGTGCTGTGTGTCTTTACCTTTCAAAAGAAGAAAGTATTGAGGGGTAAGGCAGAGATAAATTAACAAGGGCAACTTCAGAATGTCATTTGTGAAACTGCACCCATAAATGCGTGGACAAGAGAACAAGAAAACATCCACAGTGCTTTGAAATAACTTGAGTTACGGGGGGGGCCCCCCGCCAAAGAAAAGAAAAAAAAAGAAACCATAGAATGGCTGCAATGGGCTCCATCCAAATCACCTGCTACTGAGACAACCTGCTTGGTGCCAGTGGCTTGAGTCCTCTGGAGAAGAAACCCCTGCACACTTGGAGTTCTGCTCCTATGTATCCCAATGACTCCACACACCCCAGTAAGATGACGAATGTCCCAAATTCAGCCTGGAGAGCTGCTTATTATTTAGGCAATTTGTCACTTCCAGTGGTTCTGAAGAGGTTCTGCAGCTTCAGGCACAAGAAGCAGGACAGCTAAATTGTGAACAAGAGGAATTGCATGGGGAAAGCTAGGCTCAGCAAATGAGCTACACTAAAGATGATTACAAGCAAAAAGATCATGGTAAGGCTTAAGGGAGCTCAAAACTGCTTTTTCATGAAGATGCCCAAGGAAGGAAGTAGGCTGATGTGGAAGATACGGTTCTTTGCACAGAAAAAAATTACCTTGAGCTGATAGTTCAAGTGGAGACTCAAAGGCAACCCTATAAGGATTCATTAAGTTTTTCAGATTCTGAAATAGCTGAAAGGAAAACATACAGAAAGTTAGGAGCTGAAAACAAACATGAACTATAGCACATCCAGAATTGCTCATCCTTCACCCCTACCTCTAGGAAACAATCCACTACACGGCCTTTAATAAAACATCCAGTTCAGCAGTAAATAAATCAAATGCTTTGACTGACTGTTCTCCTAGAGGCTTCAGCACCTGTCCCTTCCTGCATACCACTAACCATTCCTCTCTGCCCTCTGGGGTTGGCACAATCCATAGGGTGGTTCAGCCCCTAACAGCCACTGGTGGGATAGGATGCAGCATGTTTCACCCAGCAAAGAGGATGTGACAGCACAGTGTGTCTGCTGCCTCCCTGGGCTTGGTGCTACTCAGCAGTCCTTCCCAGAGAGGTGACCCACAAAGCTCTTACCTTCTCCCCATTGGGGTTTCCAAGAACATAGCAGCCCATGATGTGAATGATATTTGGTTCAGGATTGATTTTACTCATCAGACGACTCAACCTCTTCCAGAAGCTGGAAGAAATAAAAGAGATCATTAAGAAATTGGTTTCCTCAGGTGGATGTGTAAATGCAAGCAGCTCAGGAGAGGCCTGAAGCTCACAGCCTGAGCAGCAAGCTGCCTGGAGAGCGATGGAGGGTCTTAGACAAGGAAGAGCAGGGGCAGAGCCTCTGCCATGTGGTAGGGAAGGAGGAGCTGCCCAACGAGACAAGGGAGCTTCAAGGTGAAGAAAAAGGAGCAAAATCCACCAGGAGCATTTTTAAATCCACTTTACTTTTCTTACTACTGACTAGCATGCTGTGCCTGAGGGACATGAGATACAGTGACCCTTCTTGCACGAGGATTATTAGAGCAGACAGGTGGGCTCTAAAGCCCAGCAGCTCCCCTGTGATGGCTGTGATCAGATGCTTGTTTGCAGTATAAGCTCTTCTCAGGACTGCCTCCCAGCCATGCACAGGTGGGATGGAGACATTCACTTCCAAGCACCCTTTCAGCTGCATGTCCACAGATTTCTGGAGGCCCTTGAATTACCAACGTCAGGTCTGCTATGCCCCCAGCGCATTCAGAAGCATGTGTGCACGTGCCTTTTATTGATGGTGTTTGTGCCAGAGCATGAGAACACTGAACAGATGTTGATTTTAATATTCAGCTCTCATGCCAACAATCTTTTGTGTAGGAACAGGTTGGTATACAAGCTCACCCCCACGAAGAAGCACTGCTAGACAAATTACATTTGAGCCAGCACAAGGAAGCAGGCAGCAAAACAGGCAAAGCTCAACTCTCTGCAAGGAAAAGCAAAATTGCCACAGTACTGGACTTTGAGCAGGCTTTGCAGAGACAAATTCCATTTCCCCCTGCATTTAGAAGGGCAGTTATCAGAGACAGCTGTGGGGGAATAGCTTGGATTCCTGCCACTGGTCACCTGCTAAGAAAAGCTACCTCAGCTACTTCCAAGCCCCAGAGGCACGAGGTGCGTGTTCTGGTTTCTAGTCAGCAAGGCCTTTGCTAAGAAAGGAAATGCCTTTTTCTCTTTTGATGACCTCTAGTCCACAGACACACCAAGCAGCAGAGAAGAGCATAAATCTTCTGCTGACCTGACCCAAAGCTGCACAAGCCCTGAGTTGAGCTTGATTCTGTCGTCTTTCCAACTCTCCCCCACGGAGTTGTAAGCTGCTATGTAATTCCCTCTCTGCCTCATCCGCCCCAGGCTAAACCATCCCAGCAACCTCTGCCTCTCCTTCTAGACCACGTGCTACAAACACAGAGCAAACAGAGCAGAAAAACGCTACGTGACTCTAGAACAGAACACAGTCACTTACAGGATCATATCTTCCTCCTTCTCCACTTTGGCGAAAGTGGCAACTTTGTTCTTTAACAAGTATAAGTGACCTGGACCCCCCTGCAAGAGAGAGATGGACAAATGCACAACACCTGAAGAAACAGCCCCTGGAGATATTGCTTGTTCCGTGCAGCCATACCCAGCAGTGCCACAAGGGAGCAGAGTGGACACGCCAGGCCGGCACAGCTTGCTACAGCCTTCACAGGAGACACTGTAGGCACTAATTCAGAACATTTTCACATACAGAGTACGTCGGGGGTTGGATTATCCGTTTGCTAATGTTATTATGCCCACCCTGCTCTAGAAAGACATAGCAATAAGAGGAAAAAAAAAAGTCCTTTGCTGTGGGTGGCTGGAGGACAGTAGGGAAGAAAAGAAAGTCCCTTTCATTGGGGGGTGTTAGGGGAGTTGCTGTGGTAGGCAGAAAGAAGCTGAGCACAGCAGGAGAAGCAGGCAAGATGTCACTGTAGAAGAACTGGTATTTGGCAGTAGCAAGCATAAAAAGATTGAATACAACTTCAGGAAAATTAAGAGTTGCAGTCTCCAGGTCATTGGGCTGCAAGTGCTACTGCTCTGCAGCACGGGGCACCTATCATTGAATCATACAACTCTTAGAGTTGGAAGGGACTTTGAAAGGTCATTTGGTCCAACTCCCCTGCAATAGGAAGTTTAAGTTAGGCTCACTTCCTCACTTCTTTCAAGGTTCCCTGCACAGCTGCTGGGGCAGCACAGCGCTGAACTCTCAGGAGCAGAGACTCAGGAAGGAAATCCCCACCGAGCCCCAGATACAGCAGTGCCCCGTCTGCCCCAGCACTGCTTCCTCTGCCTGCACCTTCACCCCTCTCCCTCCTCTGGGACTCCAGGCTGTGCCATCTGCTGGTCGGATCTGTGACATCCTTCACTTGTCAGCATCACAGTGAAGCTGCACAAAAACTTGCAGCTATCATATCAGACATACTCCTTCCTTTCTCCAAAAAGCTCTTTCTGGGGGCTTCGCTAATGCAAGTTTGCTTAGGTTTCCTTGAAAGCAGCTGAAAAGCAACCCAGCTCTGGAGCTGGCTACACTAAATGTCATCTGCTGCTGTCACAGCAACTTGTGATGGCTTGCTGTCTGGGTAAAGGAGAAGTGAAAGCTGTATGCATTTACTCTAACAGAACCTAACACTGGAATATTGGTTCCTCCATGTACTTTTCCCTATAGAAAAAGAGGAATTTGTGACAAACCACTCCCCCTCTCAACAACTTTCATTACCTGGCAAAATATCAGCATTTTCCAGATTTTGCAGCCTTTCCGATAAATGTTAAGCTTCTTCTCTATTTCCTCTGGAAAACAAAACAAAACATTTTGGGAAAGATGAGCCATGGAGGAAGTGAAAAATGAACCTTGCAAAATCGTTTTTTTCTTCTCAGTAGAGTTCAGTCTTGAAGGCCAAGCTGCAAGAGGTGCTCAGCATGCATTTTCAATAATGTCAGAGCAAATCCTCACCTTTAATGCTGTGGAAAATGAGAAACCACAGCCCATCACAAGGCAGGCAAGGTGCAGAGCAGCACCAGCTACTGCTCTCTACTGCCTACAGTGCTGTACCAGACCCAGCTGTCCTGAGCCCCTGCTCACCTAAAAGGGTATCTCACAGCAGCATCTTTGCTGCCCTGTGCTTCAAGCTTCTCCTTCATGATCTGTGAGCTTAGCACAGAAAACTGCCTACAGAAGTGAAGTTTTATTATGGCAGCAAATCCAACAGCACCACACTGAGCATCAGGTGTCATTAGGGTGATAAAAACACCTTTGTACATGGTGGCTGAGGTGCAGGGCAAAGTGACTTAACATACTGATCAGATACGTTCGCAGTAGGCAGGACTTAAGATAAAGAAATAACACCCAGCATACCTAGGATGTCATCAAAGGTGGCGTGTTCGTGGTCCTGGAAAGCAAAAAGAGGCAGATGTATCAAGGTTTGCTGCCACTACACCCGCTTCCATGACATTACTCAGGTCTTCAGTATCACACAGTCACACTCCCAGACAAACATACCCTTAAGCATGATTTAACCCACTGGGGCTTCTAGTTGCATCACAGGAATAATCACCCTACAACACACCTCAGCAAAGAAGCTGAAGACCAAATAGTCCATTGGAGGCCAACCTCATCTAAAGACTTGGAGATGAAACCCGCAGACCAGCCCAAAGCATACACCATCAGACACTGTCAGTGTCATCAGTGAGTATCTGCCTCTTGGCCCATGTTGTGTATCCAACTGATGGTACTATACACATCCAAGCTGGCTAACAAATGGCCAACACTCCTAACCCATCTGCCTCTGGCACAGCAGGGTCACCAGTACAGCTGCACAGCTCTCAGTGGAAGGGAGACAGCAGAGCTAAAACCCTGACAGCACTGTCTGCTGCACAGAGACTGAACTTTCTGTGCTGTCAGTCTAACCCTTCCCTTTCACATTAAATGAATGTGAAATGATTAAGAAAAAGAGACCATGACTCCCTGCTGGTGCTTTAGACATTGCTCAGGCAAAATCAAGCTTAAATTCACGGCTGACAGGGAAGCACCACTGTCCGAGGTCTTACATTGCCTAAGGATAAGCAGAAACACAAGTCTTGAGCACGGCAACGTGAAGTTTCGTTCAGGTTGGTCTTGGCTTCCCTTGCTCACCTTCCCCCACTGCCTGGCTGTGCCTACACAGTCAGATCTCCCACATGTGCAGCTTTCATGCCACCTTGTTCTTCCACTTAGACCTGAGCCTCCTCAAAAGCTGTGCCAAATCCCAAACCTGGGTCCAGCACACACCCAGCCCTTTCCTTTCAGCTTTTTCAAGTCACAATCGTGTTTCAGAATCACTGTAATGGGAACAAAGAAAATAAATCTGTGTAGAGCCAGATTCCACCCTCCTGGGCAGAGCAGAAGCAATATACTCACATAGAGAATGGGGATGATGGAGGGATCGTCCCTGCGAATAATTGTTGGGACGTATTCAGCTTTGGGCACCTTGGAAGAAATGAGCTGTAAAGAAAAAAAAAAGAATTGCAACAGGACGAGGAGAGGCCAATAGAGAGTTCAGAAGCACAAAGGCTATGCTAACAGTGCTTTGTTCAGCTGCACTTCCTACATGTTATCCAAACCAGAAGATAATCCAGACTATCTGCATTGCTGCAGAAGGTCCTCCAAGCCTTTAGTCCACTTCAGAGCATCCTCAGGCCTGTGGAGTACTCCCAAGCATCACAGTTCCCCCAGCCCTCACCAACTGAGTGCACAGCTTGTCCAGTAGTAAGGACTGAGTCTGAGATGACAGCCTGTAAAGGGGAGATAGGTGGGCACAGAGGATGCAGCTGCTTGCAGACCAGCAAGACTGGCTGTAGCCCAGTAAAGATCACTGCTGTACAGCCTTCCCTGTGTGAGGTTTCATGCTTCTGGCTGGAGAGGACTGTTCAAATTCATGTGCTCAGTGGGCCAGAGGTGGGATGGCTGCATGCCTGAGCCAGGACCAGCCAGGGCTGAGCACAGCAGTGGCCAAGGGATAAGATGACACAGGCACACACAGCCATAGGATGTCAGGCAGATGCAGGCTGCTTGGCAGCTCTGGATGAAGTGTTCAGCCAGCTCGTTAAGAGCCTAACTGGGTAGGCCTGTCGTTAGCACAAGCCAAACTGCGATGGAGATGCAGTTGATTTGGCTGTGCTGTGATTTCAGGCACTGCTTTTCAAGGTGATAGTGATTCTGTGATGTCCAGGGATGGACAGTCCTCTCGTTCACCCTGCAGATCCTAAACTTAGCAGTTGTAGGAAGTCAGGGCCCAAACAGCTAAAGGTTGCTTGGCTTGGAAACGCTCACCATTATTTTTGGTGGAATAAAGTCTTCTCCATCACACGCCATGGCTTCAAGCTCCTTTTCTGCTTCCCAGTTCAAGTCAAAGTCACCATCCAAAGTGCCACAGGAATCCTGAAGGTCATGGCCTGTCAGAACACAACGTGCATCACAAGGGCAGAACAGCTTGCCTTCTCCACTCAGCCCTGTCTGGCAGCTACCTCGCAAGAAGCACCACAAGCCATGACACTTGTGCCCTCCTTCCTTCCAACACAGTGACAGACACCACACGTCGGGGCTGGCGTCTCTAAACAAACTCTCTTGACAAACGACGAGTGCACACACAGAGTCTGAACCACACATCACATAACATTTCACCAGTCTCACAAGTGTAAGCTTTCAGATGCTACTCACAACAGTCACCCTGTCATTTCAGAAATGGGGAAGGAGATGGAATGCAGACAGACTCTCTACAATTTAACATTGCCAAGCTGATGAGCAAAAGTCTCCAAAGACTCCAAAACTGGTCTCCTTGTAATAATTCATGGTCCGACTATGTTTTCTCAGTGCTTATACAGAAACTCTGCCTTCTTAGTCAAATTGATCCTGGCAGAGAATCCTAGAGCGCGAGGACGGCCATAGCAAACACAGCAGTATTTCCACAGTAGACTTGAATTTGCTCTCCGAATTCACCTTACCTGTTGGCCTTCAATGCCTCCTGGGGAAAAAACTATCTGGAAGGAATATAATTGACCGTTAAATGTTAAAAATAAAGATGGTTCCCTTAAGCCAGGGAGTGAGGAAAGAGAACAGAGGTGCCTCCACTTGTGCCTTTTGGGATGTCCAAGTGTCGTTGGACAGTGCTGGAGCACCAGACACATCTGTCTGAACCATGTCTTTTCCATTCGCTTCTGAGTTAGCTGAGGGAGCAGGGAAGAATCAGACTGCAAAGGAACCATCGGGTCATGTTTTGAACCTGGCCTTTCGTACCTCTGCCCCTGCAACCTGGCACGGTGTGATCTCCAACCAGGAGGGCTGGACCTCATGCTTACCTGAAAGGTCAGTTGATTTCAGTAGTGAAGTTTATGTAATGAATACAACCCATGTCAGCATGGGCAAACTCATAACCATTAAGACCCTTCCCTGCAGGATTTCAAATAATATTGGGTGAATCGGCCATTCTCTTTACAAAAAAAAATAAACAAATTGGGAAGATGCTGGCATTTCCTTCTGTAAATTATCACAGCAGCACCTGGGTCCCCACAGGCGGAACACTGTAGCATTACTGAGGATTTCCAGAGGAATTCCTGGCAGCCCAAAGATCAGATTGCCCCAAGCTATCATCTGTGCAGCCTGCACAGACAGGAAATCAAAGTTATGCTTCATGGAGCACTGCAGCTGTGCTCCAAATTATTCTAGGCTACAGAAGAGCTCAGAAGGGGCTCTTGCACAGGAGACTGTGAAGGTTTGCCCCTCTGTGGTGAATGCAACTTTGGACTGGTGTGCTTCCAAGTAGGGTGTTGCCCCCAAGCAAACAAGGGATGGTGGGAACAGAGAGCCATAAGAAAGCTGAACCACTGCGTGTCCTTTGGCTGCTGCACAAAAACATGAGGACAGATGTGCTTGTGCTCTACCTGTAAGTATAGGTACACACAGATGACTAGGTGCATATACCCAGAGTATTATCTGCTCAGATCTCATGAAACTAAAAGGATAACAAATGGGACAAAAGGGAACAGAGAAGTTACTCCAGTGGGACTCCAGTCAACACCTCAGCTGGAGGGTTTGGCCACAGGAGGAAGCTCAAAGGACTCAGAACTCACTTTCTCGAGAGTCATGGAAGGAATCAGCTTTGATGGGAGTCGGGTCACTCCAGGACCTGCTGAAGCTCCTCTCACGCCGTTCGGCAAATGCTAGGATAAAACCAAAGCACGACATTAACAGACTCCAAAGCCACCTCGGTTGCTGCCAGCAAAACAAAACATCCAGTAGATTTCCACCAAAGCTACACATCACGATCTCCCCTGTGCTTGTTCTTCCACTTGCCAACCGTGAGTCCTCTCCACACAGCAAACAAGGGTCTGTCTTCCAGACAGCAGCAGCAGAAGTGCCCACTTTCTGACCCGAGCCATTGCAGGATACGTGACACAGAAAAAAGAGAACACTCGATGGTCACTCCTTAAATGGGCACTGCTCAAACCTCAGTTCCATCAGGGTGATGCCAATATCCCACTGTAAATGCTCTGACTCAAAAGCCTTCACAAGAAAGTGCACACACAACAGCTAATGACACTTGCAACTAGAAGAAGGCAGCTGTCCAGTCATTTCTCCCTTCTCCCATGGTGGGAGGTTCTCTTCTTGTTCTGTTCCATCAGAGAAGGGGCCTTTAGAAAGCTCATGCTTTCCAAATTTTCTGGCAGCAGAAGAAATACTTCACCTGCTGTGGTATGAGCATTTTTCACTTCCCCCTTTTTTTTTAATAGATATATTTTTATTTCTTCAAGGGCCATTTGTACTGGCATTTCCCAAGCGGAACCCAGGGAGCTCGGCCCAGCTGATTGCCCTGCAGGCAGATTTCTGAGAATCACCAACCATAATGTCTAACTTGGCAATTCCCTGGGAGAGCCATTACATCTAGATTAACAGCCACTTAGGGCCACTCGTGCTTATTTCTAGTAGCAGACAGATCAAGCTCACTGCAGTAATAGCAGTGACAGCATCTCACATCAGCAACACAGGAAATCAGGGCAGATCTGCATTACAAGAGCTGAGATAGAGCCTGTCCTCTGCTGCAGTGTCCAAGTGCAAAGGTCCAGGGAAACAAGTCACATGGAAAGTTCTTCAGGTGATTTCCATCCTCAGCTTTCACTTAAAACAACACATGTAGCTATTGAGCACGTGGAGAAAGCTTTGAAAACATGACCCGAGAGTTACCAAGGCAGAGAGGCATGCCTGCACTTACAGACAGCTCTAGGTGAAGGTGAGCCCTTTTCATTTCAGGCAATGCTAACTCAGATGCCAATAAAGACACAAAAGGCAATGCTGTTTGCTGTCTACTTCCCACAGCATATCAGAATGGAGAGGAAATTCAACTCAAATTCAACCCAGCAACACTTTTGCTGTGGGCAGTCTGTACACGACATCTGGCCAGGCCATGGCAAGAACAAGCTGTTTCCTTTCTGGAACAATTCTCAGCTCTCAGGTGCTGGCTACACCACTCTCAGCCCATTCCACAGCTATGAGAGCTGTTCCAGCCAAGTTATGGAGAAGCACTGCCTTCCTCATGGAAAGAGAACTGCTGTTTCCCAGGCCGAAGAGGTGATTCCTTGCCAAGTAAGGCATAACGCTCCCTTTATTTACCCCCTTGCTCCCATCTCTTTCCTGCTCTTCTTTCTCTGCACGACTTTCCTCTCAGATCCCACTGGGCATCTCTCCCCAGGCCCTGCTGTGGGGAAGATGTGGTGGTGGGATAGGGGAGGAGAAAAGAGCCACTGGTCCACACGGCACACAAAGCACCAACTGCCTCCAGGGAACCACAGCAGGTCCACACCTTCAGCGAGAAGCCAGGCAGCTCTCTCTGCTCGACTTTCAGCTCTGGTTCTCCTCGCTGCTACACCATTGATCACCAAATACCATGCAGACGTGGGACAAGGATGCTGCAGCTCTTCCACACCTCAGAGAGGATGCAAATTTCTCATGGCCTATGCAGAGCTTCTTTGGAAACAGCTTAAAGGCTGCGTGCAGATATCCATGTGTCTTGGAGACTTGCAACAACCTGGCCTTCTCTTCATAAGGTAAAATGGCATCAGCAGGTCAAATCCTTCCTCCAGCCCAGTGCTAACTCCTTTCTATTGGTATCTGTGCACAACTTGGGCTCCCTGTAAACCACCAGCACAAACCCCAACTCCTCACAGCCACATCATACAGGTTCTCACTTACTTTGTGCTTTAACCCTTCGGCTCCCCACCATGCGGAGGTGCTTCCGAAAATTCCTGTAAGAAAGTTCAAACAAAACCTCTGAGAAAGGTGATATGAAGCTGGGCCCAGGAGGACTGAAAAAGCTGGAAAGGAAAAAAATGGGAAGACAGACAGTTCGTTTCCTTCAAGGCATTCAAACACTGAGAGCAGGTACCCAGCCTCTGCTCAGGGTTATGTCTGTCAAGCACACGGTTGTTTCTGAACCCTCTTGGACCAGTGTTACAGAACAAGTGAGGTTCTATCTGGCTGTCCCATTCTCATGGGCTGCTGTGGGCTTTTTCCCCACTCTCCTGTACATCAGGCACCCGTTCTGCAGCAGCTGCAGCCCATACTAGCAACACTCCTTTTCCTGGTTAGCAGCAGGAGCTTCTCCCCCCTCTCTTTTCTTCTACACATGCACCAGCAGGAAAGTGAGGTGCCCTGGGCTTTGCAGCATGCACACACAGCTCGTGGCTGTGCTCATTCCCACACACATTCAGAGCAGCTGCTAAAATCCCAGCAGCACCATTAGCAGCCACACAGCCCATACTGTTCTCCAGAGCGAAATGCTGGGAAATATTTTTTCAGCTTCTTCCTTCTTGGAAACACTGCTCAGCAAGGCTGACTGCCGTCACCAGCCAGCTCTCTGTGGCTGCCTGTCTAACTATGTGCTTTCCTGCCCAGCACCACAGGCAGACTTCAGTAGGGCTGCAGAGTTCTCAGTTCCAGAGGAAAGCCCACCCAAGGCAAGCCTCAGGGAGACAGCAGCACCTCACAGTCTGCATAAAGCAGACCATCCTGGCAACTCCTGAGAACATGTTCAGTCTGGGGAAGAGGAGGCTGAGGGGAGACCTGATTGCTCTCTTCCAATATCTGAAAGGTGCTTACAGCGAGAGTGGGGTTGGTCTCTTCTCACTGGTGACAGGAGGAGGGGAAATGGCCTCAAGCTGTGCCAGGGTAGGTTTAGGTTGGATATTAGGAAATACTTCTTTACTGAAAGGGTTGTTAAGCACTGGAATGGGCTGCCCAGGGAGGTGGCTGAGTCCCCATCCCTGAATGTGTTTAAAAACCATTTGGATGTGGTGCTCAGGGACATGATTTAGCGGAGGGTTGATAGGGCAGTATGGTTAGGTCGTGGTTGGACTCGATGATCTTTAAGGTCTTTTCTAACCTGAGTGATTCTATGAGGCAAAGGGACTCTACCTACAGCCTCCTTAGAGCAAGGGACCAGTGTCCCTTGGTTTCTCATCACTCACCTACACAGTAACTGAACAGGACAGGAACCAAACTGGACAGCAGAAAAGACACAGGGGATGAGCAGCAAGTGGACTAGCAAGGAAAGGCTCCATTCCTCCTTGAACCCTGCTCAGGTGAGGTGACTTCAGCCTGCACTGCTGCCCTGAGGGGATGGCAGTGACCCACGTACCTGCAGCCTGTATGGAGCAGGGGGTCCTGGATCCCCTCTGCCCCTCCAGTGTACACCACAGACATCACACAACAGAGACCGTTGTTGGTGAAAGAGATGAAATGACAAGTTGTCTGCAGCACACACCAGTTAGTAGAATGAGTAAGGACATGGTACAACCATGCAGACACTTGAACAAACTGGCTGGACTGGAAGGCACATTCAGCACTGACATTGAGGCATTCAGAGCAAGGCAGACACATCTACTCTGCTTTAGAAAGATCAACACAGGTGCAGCTCTTGGGAGAGGAAGAGCCCATGCCATGGTCTGCACTGTCCCTTCTTTGGCTTCAGATCCCATGCAGCCATCAGAATCCAAACAGCAACTCAAGAAGGATGACCTGAGCTGCTCTGTACGCAAAGCCTTCAGCAGTGCACAGTAACTGATCACCAGGGTGCTCTACAGCATGTTAGATTCAAATCAGCTATGTTCTAAGAGGACCAGGGACGTTTCTTAAACCAACAGGTCTTAAATGTGGTAAATCACCAGAATGAACTCTTTATGGGCCACTGCAAAACTAAGCTTATGCCAGACACCAAGCACTGAATTAATTGCCAAGGCCGCCTTTATAGGCTTCAGGGCTTTTGGCATTTTGAAATCCATTTTCTGGTTAAATGCTCAGTTCTCCCCTCCAGAGAGGAGCTTCTTCTGGAGCTGGGGACCAGTCTGCCACAAAACAGTGCTGCTCCCAGCTGGTCCTCTCCCATTAGTGAGGGCTGAAGGCAGCTCTCTGGATACATCTTCTAAAAACAGCTGTGAGTGGCTGCAAGGAAAATTCAGGGCTACCCTCTGCATTAAGCATTTACAGAATGGGTCAAAGAACCTTTTTCTCCCCTCAGCTCTGTTCTAGACAAAGCACTTTGGAAAAGAGATCCATGTCTGGGACTACCTCAGTGTGGGCATCCTGCAGCCATCTGGACGCAGGCCCCTCTGTGCTGACATGTTAGCATGAAAACATGGGCTTTCACCACCATTCAGGGACACTGGGGGAGCAGCAGTTTGCCCTGTGAGCAGCCATAAACCTGCCCAGTCCTCTTGCCTGGCTCCTACAATTGCACCTTGAAAGCCCAGTGTTACATGTTCACTACTAAGATCTCTTCATCAAAATCCAGAAAGCAGCCCTGAAGTTACAGTGATAAAATCTCTTTATTACTCCCTATCCTGCAGCACCCCCTGCAGTGCTCCATCTCTTCTCTGAAGAGCAGCATCTTTGTTATCTCAGAGGTGAATGACAGCGTTGGGATTACTGCAGTACATCAGAGCTCTGCAGAACTCCTCCCCAGCTGGGATCAGCCACTGGTTCATCAGACCACCGGGTGCTGCCCTCCCTCAAGGCAGCACCTTCATGCCAGCAGGTAGCAGTGCCATACAAACTCAGCTCACAGCACACCAGGCTGTGCACTGCAGGTTCTGCAATAACCACTGACCTTCCAAAATACCCAAGGCTGCAAAGGGCTGTGCAGCAAGCACCTGAAACTGGGATAAGTGCTGGGATCCTCCTCGCTCCTCAGCGCTACCTGCCAGGCAATCCTTACGCACCGCCGGGGTCTGCTGCCACGGCCCAGCCAAAAAACCACATCACCTTCATCAGCACTGCAGTCCCACCTCCTCCCTGCCACAGGGCAATGCAGACAGCTCTGCTGTACAGTCCTTCCTGGGTTCCTCAGAGCAGTCTGTCCCACGAGGCCGGTGTGACACCCGCAGTGCCAAGTGCTCAGCATCACCGAGGTGCACAGCTCCCCTCCTGCACCTGCAAGCTGTGTCAACAAGTCACCACCCGACAGAGGCTCGTCTCCGTCTAACCAATTATGAGAAATCTCTTTCCTTTTAAAGATACACTGTCTGTTTATTTACCACGTCTTCAGTTTTGATTTGCATTTGTCCTCACAACTGATGGAAAAAAAAAACAAAGAACAAACACCTACTGATAAAGAAAATATCTTCCTGGCAATTTCCCCATTGTGAAAATCTGATGTTTTTCTCCCACTTTGTTTTGAACAGTGCTGAAGTAATCAAGGCAGTTTTAAACCAATGACACAAATGCTGTGTTATCCTTCCTCACAAGCTGCCAAAACACACAAGTCTTGGCCACACTTCAAACAACAGAGTTGTTCTGATTACCACAGTGACCAAGTGATGTGCCCTGCAAACCAGCAGAGGGAAACCAGGGCTCTCTGGTAATAACAGGATGAGGGACCAGTCCTCTTTTCTCTCCTTTCTGTCCTTTAAAACAACAACAAGAAACAAATAACCAACAAACAAGTAAAACAGGCTTCTGGACAATAGATACATTTATTTTCCTCATGCCTCACACTTTGGAGGTACGTAAGTAGGTGTAACAATAACACATGAAGTGACTGTTCAGATATTCAGCTAACCTCAAACAAATTCCAGACATTTAGGAAAGGGTTGGGGGAATTGCATTCTTAATTTTCAGCCTGAAAATTAACATGCTTCCCCATGTTATACTGAGAAGCTTAAAAATAAACTTGACAGCGTTCCTTTAAGAAGGATGAGCTATCCCCAGACCTGTAGCATCATTCACTTCCATATTTCCATCCCAGGCACTGCTGGTGTCCCTACCAACAGCAACACAGACAGGGACAACCACGTTCAACATCATCAAGCGTCACGAATGACACTGTGGGGGCCCATGCAACACCAGGCACGGTCACGGCTGCGGGAGACAAGGGCCCTACCTCTGTATAACAGCTGCAGAATCATTCTCTCGTTTCCGTCTCTTCCTTTCTGCGTAGCCCCTGAATGCCCTGGGAAACCATTTTAAGCCATTAACCAACTCCACAGCTTTGAACTGGAGAGGACACAAGACGCAGACAGGAAAGCTCTCACCAGACAACAGAAAGAGACTAGGCTGCCTGAGGGGACAGCTGGGCCTTGCAGGACTGTGTGAGAGTCAAGGGCTGGCCAACAGTCACCAAACCAAAGGTCCTCACTAGAGTAGATGGCTCCTAAAGAAAGCATAGCAGTGGCCACAGAACTACCCAAAGAATAGGGGCTGAGAGCTGTCATCCCTGCTGTGGAGGAATGGACCTAGGAAACTGCAGACACAAAGCCTCCGTGCACCAGTTTCAAGAGGGACAAAAGCCTGCTAGCTTCAATCCTGAAGGTGAGGATGGCTGCAGTGTGATCCATACAGGCACAGCAGGCGTAGCCTCTAACCTCTTCTCAGCTGACCAACAGTTGTAGCACAGGGAAAGCATGAATGAATATGCTGGACAGGAGAGGAGAGGACAGTTTATTCCATACATCAACAGACAAAGAAATGAAAAATAGAAGATTATACTTACGAGATGCTAGAGATTCCAGAAGATGCAAAGAAAAAAAGAAAGAAGAATTCATTAATGCTCAGCCCTGCGCGGCATCCCGAGGGGATCCTCACTTCAGAAGGGACAAATATTTCTTGTTAGGTGGAAGGAAATCACTTTTAAAGTTAATTCTCAGTGATCAAATTCCAGCTTGACTGAGCTAAAACCTCCAAGGCAGTATCATCATAGGGTGCAAATTAATTCGTTGGGTCTCCATGCAGACCCAAAGAACACACAGGTGTAAAACTGACGACAGAATGCTGCCTGTCAGAATACAGCAGCAGCTCAGCATGGGGGATTATGGAGCAGGGAGCTCCTGTCCCCTGAGCACCCATGACTTGTGAAATCAGCCTGCATTGCCCACCCTGAGAAGGAAGCAAGCCCAGGGCTGAAAACTCTCCAGCAGAAGCCAGGGGCTTGGGAACCTCCCAGCCAGCTCAAGGAGGTGCCCTGAACTCTTGGAGATGTTTCTGTGTGAATTCCAGCAGCTCAGACTTCCTAGAGATGTTATCTTAGCAGCTACCTTAAAACAAGGGAGCTGTGCTCCTCACGGGTGTCCTTAGGGCATCATTCTCCACACCTGCCTGACTTTGGTCTCCATTAGCTCCAAGCTCAGCATCCTGCCACAAACCACATGCACAGCAATGGTGACTGCAGGTAACAAGGGCTGTGCCCACCAGCAAACGAAATGTGCTGGGTTTGTGCATGGTCTGGCTTGCCAGATCAGAACTCTAAAACACCAATGTTCATAAAGAGCAAAGCAAAAATCCAGCAAATTGCCCTCAGATTGCTCACAGGCCCTGTCAGTGCAGTGCCAATGAGCATTAACCTGCTGAAGGTGCCATCATACTTGCAGCTTCAGAGAGGAGGCAGAGAGATATGGGGGTGCTGTGTAAGAGAAGCAGCACAAGAAGCTGCAGACTGGCACCATGTAAATGCCCCCCGTCCTGTTCCCCAGGATGGGCTGCGCTTCCAGCTGTGCTGGGGTATGTGAGGAGTGAAAGAGCATAAAGAAAAGCTCTTTCTTCTAGGGGAGAGAGATTCCTTCTGTATTTCAGCAGCTACCCCTCTCCCCAGCACTGGATCCAGCCTTCTCCACCTTATCAATGCAGATCTGATTCAGTCTGGGTTATCCCAAGATCAACCAGCAGCTTCTTTTGGGCACCTGGGGAGGGCAATGTCTGAGGGAAAGAGGTGGCAGAGAAACAGATCACAAAATGGAGACCAGGTTAAACAAGCAGAAATAAAGGGAGCAGCAGAGAGGAGGGAGACATGGATACAGGAAGAAGGACAAGAAGGTGGTAAGGCTGGAGAAAGACTTTAGAAAGCAGAACATCAACTCATCTTCCACACTGCCTGCCTTCCCTTTTCAGCCAGGGAGGAAATACCTGAAACCAGGAAGATGTCATACCCTGACAAGATGGGTACAATCTTGAAATGAGGCTTCATTTTCTCTCTTAAGTCCTTTGAGAAAAGTTGCTTCTCCACACACAGCAGCCAGCAGCACCAAATCCTGCATGCAGTGTAAAGGGAGAAACTACTCCTAAACCAGATCCTCTCATGCTTTGCAGATATTTACTGATGCCCTCTACCGGAAAAACACATTAAGCTGTAGGGCTACATCTCATAGTACAGAGACACACTTCTCTGGAGCAATGCATGGGGGGCAGGCCTGGATTAATATTCCCCCAGAGCAGTGGCTGGAGCAGAGGCAGTGGAGGAGGGTTTCAGCTGGCGTTCCCACAGCACCCATGCTCTGCAGAGGCAGTCAGGGACAGCATCACGGAGAAAATAAGGGAAGCAGAGGAAAATTGCATAGCCCAAGAACTTATACAAGAGGGAATAGTAGGGAAGAGAAATAATGAGTGCAAAAAATAATGGACAAGACACAAAGTGCCCTCTCCCCCAAGCTGCAGTGTCAAATACACAATTCAATTTGCTCTGTGCTCTCAGATATAGTTTGGAGTGGGCCACAGACTTGGAGATACACAACCAAAGTTAAGGCAGTGGTTTCACTTACGCTTGCATAGTTGTAGTAGCAGTTTGAAAACTGAAGAGGTTCTCTTTTGGGAACCAGGTTCGTATGGGGACATCATCTAGAAGAGAGGGAGCAAAAGCTGAGAATCCAGCAGGCAGAGGCACAATCCATACAGCAAGACTTCCAGCTCTCACTCAGCACTTTTCTTCAGCACCTTGCCCTGTATTAAATAAGACAGTCTCATCCTCTCACTTTATATGCATGCCACCACCAAGTGTTTTGTAAATTTGTACTAAGCCTGTCTGTCACACTGCTAATGAAGAATGAAAGCTCTCTAAGCACAAAGACAAGCACAAATCCAGGAATTACATAAGAGACATTTGAACAAGAGAAAAAAAAATAATCGGGGGAAAAAAACATTTTTCATTCAAAGCATTTTCCAGTCTCTGCCTCTTCCTTAGTACCATTAGCTTGAAATGTCCCATTCATCCAGCTGTTTTTGATACAGCACTCATCTTGCTCTATTCAGAGCTGAAGGCAGAAATACACTTTCTTGTTCTCCCACTGATGCTTTCCCACACACGCCTCATACAACTGCTCCTGGTGACCCGGGCTGATGAGTTTGTCTGGATTTGGAAGTCAAGCAGCACATGGACCGTGCAATCTAGTGACAACCACATTTATTTGGTCCCCTATGTCTGCAGACTGACCTGCCTGGACCAACTGCAGATTATTTCCCAATCCTGCCATATTAGCACATCACATCATCTTCACGTAATGGGCACCAAGACAAAAAGCAGGCAGCAAAACAAGTCACCAGTTCTGTTTGTGGCATCGTGGTGACACGGAAGGAGGAACTTGGCCAAGAAGCAGCTCCTGTTGAGAACTCTCAGGGTGAATTTGCTCAGGAGGAAATTGGAGGTATATTAAAAACCACTGCCACCAGACATGTGAGATCCCACAGGACGGGATCCCCAGGCTTTGGGGCTACCTGGCTCTTCATCTTGCTTCACTCTGAATTTGAGGCTTCCTTCCTTAACACCTTGCCACGTGTTGCTAATCATGTGTCCAGATGCACGCCCTCCAGCTTTAAGATCATTATGAACCACAGCACTCAGTTGTTAGCATTCTGGCATTATCAAGAGTATTTTGTGCACTACCAATGGCCAAAATCCAATCAAATCTACAAAAAGCAGCTGCAATTACATATGGTGGAAAAAAAAAAGCTAGATGCAAGTGGGAAGGCTTTCTTTGAAGTGGGACTCCTTAGAAGTTACACAGAATGCTCCTCAGCAGACAGTTTAAGTCGAGGTTTGTATAAAGGCACCCTAAGGAAATAAATGTTTTAAATTAAATCAGCATTCAAGTATGCTAAATACTTCTGATGAAATTCCTCTGCCTGCTTTCCTCCAAAAAAACATAGATAAGCAATGTAAAATGGCTCAGAACATAAATGATTTATTTGCTCAAAGTCTCGAACCCACTGAGGTGGTGGAGGTGACGTTGTCTAAATTCTGGCTTAGCCAACAGTTCTGCACAGGATTCTCAGGAACTCCTCATCCCAAAGGACTGATGGTCTCTTATTACATGTCACAGCTCTTAAGTCACCAGCTCTGATTTGAAGCAGAGCTTCTGAGGAATGGTGCTAGGCATCATAAACTCAGCATCGAGTTCCATATTAAATTAAGCCAATCTGGCCCAACTGCCTCGAGTGTTGGTTTGCAGCAGCAACATCTCACATATATCCAAACAGAGAAAGCAGCATTGTCAAATGAATTTCTGGGGAAATTAGTCTCTCTCTCAGCTCCGTTCATCTCTGCTCTGCCTTCTTTGCTTTCTGCTTTCTTTGCCATACATGAAGGACATTCTGGGAAATACTTCCTGCAACTTGCTGTGCTTGTGCCACTCAGCTGTCATTTGTTTTTCCTGAGTAACAACGTGTGGATAGACAGAGCAAATGACACCGAGCTGCAAAAACCTGCAGCCCGTGGTGCAGTGCTATGGGGAGACTTGGTCTCAGGCACAGAGCTGCCACTCGTGCGAGCACTCAGAAGGTGCAGCAAGCCCAGGGTGGCTGTGCCTGCATGAACAAAGAGAAACACTCATAAAGGCATCTGCAGGTTCAGCACCATCCACTTTATTCCCATTTGAGTATCTTCTCTGATACACGCCTATGTTTAGAAAGGCAACCTCCCTTTCACATTAACAACCAACCCTAATGAAAATTGCCTGGTTGGAAACACATATTCTGAGCCTGAGACTCAGAAACATGGCACAGTATTTGCTAGATCGTGGTGTCTTTTTTCCAGCAAATAGAAAAGTTCAGCTTCAGCTCTTCAAGTTCAAACTCCTCCATGAACAACCAGAAGCCTTCCTTTGGTTCTGCATCAAGCAACCTGCTTCAGTTCCGCAGCAAAGAATACAGTGCTGGAAAGGAAAGTGTGTTCAGGAAATCGTTCAACATAAACCCATCGATGTTAGAGCAAGAAATATTCACCTTCTTCATTCAGAACACGCTACGAGGCTGCAGCTCATTCCCCATAGTACCCTCATCTCAACAAGAACAAACTCCCTGAGTTGTGATCTCTGTTCTGAACAGCTCAGACTGATGCAGTTTCCAGTCTGTTTCCAATCTAGATTCCTGGCTGTGTCATCACATGCAGAGCCGCCTTCCTACCAGCAAAATGCACGTGAATGTAGCGCAGTAAATACAGGAAAACTCTTTTTTTCACTTAAGCAATAAAAATAAGAAAGTCTGAATTGTCCTTGCAGCATCTAAGCTGAAGCCCAAAAATCACAGGGAACAAACAGAAAAACAGTGATTAAAGTGATGCACAGAACTGGACTGTAGGTGCACATTTGATAAATCTTTTTTTTTTCCCTTCTTTAGTCACGTAATTGCAAGCTCCAAGTATGAAAATATGGTCCAGAACCCAAATTTCATGCAATTTTATCTGCAGTAAATATCACCATGAGCCTAGGAAAGAGATACAGTGTGATCTGCACAGACCTTGTACTCTACCAGATTTCTTTTCAAGGGGAAAACCTTGACATTTCCTGGCTGGACACTCATCACTAAAAGCCTTGATGAGTCTTTCCAAAAGAAAATACAATAAAAAGAATTAAACAAATTAGGCCAGACTCTTTGCCAGCCACATACAGAGCTGACAGACAAAGATGGACTGTTTTAGGTCATAATTTAGAGCACACAGATTGGGAGAAATATTTAATTAACGGTTAAGTTTTTAAACATAATCAGGATATTTTTTATGCAATTAAAACATGATGAGCCAAATTCCCTGAAAGCACTCAGCAAATGGATAGTGAGTGTGGGAGGATGTCCAGTGTTGTGTTATTTGCTGATATTTATGGCACGACTATGAGGTGGCACTACATGCGGGACCCTGCTAGACTACTGCCAGCCACACAGAGCAGCATTCTGGAGATGCAACAGACTATGGAGCACTCAACCTGAGCTGAGGCTCTCCTTGAGCACCCTGGCATGTTCACGAAAGATTTCACCTGCCTCAATCCCCAAGTGAGGCAAAGGAGAGTCCTATGCTGAATGCCTCCTGGATGAGCAAAAATGTAGGTGCTTTGACACAGCCCCTCCTCTCCTGCTCTTTCTTCAACAGAAAGAGAACCCACGTAGATCCCCTAAGATGAAGCAAGCCATCATGAAAACCACTCAGAGAAATAGGTTTGGATGAGGTGACCTCTTAATATAAATGAGCTCCTCTTACTGTAACAGCCCTGCTTTGGGATTCCCTTTATGTGGACACCAGTGCAAGGTGAAGCACTACAGGGCCAACTCAAAGTACATGGCAACGACACCTCCATGCTGGAAACAGACAGGTGCTACCCTTCACCCATGCTGATGAGTCCCTTTGTGCCCTTCCAGCACCCAGCACTTGCCCTTACTTACCAGACACTCGATCGACACTATACATCCTCTCCAGCCTTTTTCTGTGCCATCCAGTCTCACCGGATTGATGCGGCTCTAGGTCAAAGGAATGATGAGAAGGAGCAGCCAGCCGGGTGCAGTTTGGGCACTCCTTGGATCCCTGCCGGCTGCCAGGCCAGCCCTTGCAATGCCTGCTGACACCGTGAGAGCCACCAGCACCGTGCACAGGGTGGCCGTGGTGGCATTCCTCTTGGGCAGCCCCTTTCATCACCACCAGCTCCATGCTTTCGTTCTCGTGGTCTGACAGCATCGGCCTCTCGCCGGAGATGGTGTAGACTCGTGGCTTCGGTCCCTCACTTGGCATCTTCTCTGCCTGCTCCTCAGAGAAGCTCCTCTCAAACTTGCCATCGGAGATGACGGAGAGCCTGCGCTTGTTCTGTGCTGCCTGCTGCATCTCGGGGGAGTCCTCCTGCCCGATGTAGGAGTCTGCTAACAGGTGATCTGAAACAAATTGCACACTTTACTGCTTAAAACCAAAGCACCTCAGGCACGGAAACATTCAGGAGGCTCTTTGTTACTGCTGTAGAGATACAGTAGACTTACCTCCGAAAGAACCTCCCACAGTAGGAGCTCAAAACTGGTACCTCCAGCACCCAGATGTGTGCCCAGACCTCCAGAACTGGTGCTAAAACAAGAGATACTCCTCACACGTATCCAGTATTTTAACTCATAGTGTCCAGCAAGCAAAAAATGAGGCTAGAAGAAAATGCAGCTCTTGGTGCACAGTCTGAAAAAGCTCATTTGCAGAGCAGCCCCTGTGCAGCTCTGCAGTGACTGCTTCAGTGGGTTTCCCACTCAAGGGCTGCTGAGCTGGGAAGGACTTGCAGGACAAGAAGCAGCACCAACTTCTGTAAGAAGTCACAAACGCTGAATTGACAGTTGGACTGGGTGAGCCTGTAGGTCTTTTCCAACTTCTTCTATGATTCTATGAATGCTCTCTGCGCACCAATTTATCGTTGTTTTTCATATTAACTAAAAACAGCAAACCAACAAGTCATATATTTTTTTCTTATCTCATTTTCTGCTAATTGCTTTGAAATGAAAGCAATGCCAAAAGACTTCAGCCAACAGCTGCAGCCTCACTCCCACTAATTCCACTCAGCAGCCTCACTTTGCACAGACAGCAATGGCACTGAACGCAGGGGCCGTCTGGAAGGAAAACGAAACAGCTCCTTTTGTAGGATAGTGAGTTCCAAAGGAGAGAGGCCCATGAGTGCAACTATATTTGGAGCCCACACACTGGATCAACTGCCAGGAAATCTCAGCATTTCCATGGCAATTCCATGCATGAACCCAACAGCAGCTCCCACTCACTGCTAATCCTTTTTTCAAGTGGCTGCTAATTACCTCTTACACTTCCCTTCAGATGGGAAGCAGCTAGGGGACTGCTACAAAGGCTCAGCAGGGAATGCATTATGCATGTGACTACTACCCCAGAAAAAAACAGAATCATTAGTGTCCAGCACAGACAACATTGTTACAAACAGATGGAAAGCAAACCCAAGCCTTTACTTCATGAGATATTTAAGGACCATTCTTCCTCTAGCTCCTGACCTGGAAGGAATGGGCAGCAATCTGAGGTTTGGCTACCTTGTGGCTGGCCATGGAAAGATGAGGGAGGAGGAGACAACCTACCTCGTCCTCGCCTGCTCTCAGTGTGCAACACAGACGCGACACTGCTGCCACATTCTGCTTCCTAAAAAGCACTCCTGTGCTGCTCAGATAGGAGCTCTCCCAAGGTGAGGATGTACAGCATCAGCTTTTGAATGTGAAGCCCAGCCTGGATTGTGCCCACATCACCAAGGACCTCTCGTGCAGCTGAGACTGAGCTGAATTTATCTGGTACCAGCAGTGTGTCACACTTATCTCATTTTTCTGCTTGAGATACAACTTCCTCCACCGCCACAGGGAGATAAGCACATCTCCAGCCACTCTGCTCCAGAAGTGACTGTCAGGATGCTTCGGGCTGACGCGACTCAGCTCTGTCTCACTTGTCTCCTAGCAAAGTCTTACAGTTTCCAGACTCAGCAGCTGGCAGCTGTGTGGGTCGCTGCTTCAGCTGACCAGAAGGAGCCTACGGGAGCCCTAAAGGAAGATCTGTGCCTCTTGATCCCATAGCTGCTGATATCTTCCCAGATTTCATATGGAGTCCAAAACGTGTGCCTAAGTGTAGCGAGGGGCAGTGCAACTCTCTGTGATCACCCAATGAAACAAGAGGCAGGCAGTGGTCTCCTCACCCATTGCTCTGGGCACAGAAAGGAGGAGCAGGGTCACACAGACCACATGGGCCACCACCAGAACATTTTCTTCCTTTCAGGTGGAAGAAGCTGCTCCACCAGCTGCCATTCAGCAGCTTGGCCACAGAGCCCTGCCTGCAGCACGACACAGTGGCCACAGGCTCCAAAGTACCACCAATTACTTCTTAGCCCTGGAGAGGCAGCAGGACACCGTCTTTATTCTCCAATGACTCAGATCCTCTCCAGCTCTACATCTAACTGTGCTCTAGAGAGGGCACGTCTTGGGAAAACACCAGCATATAGCTCTTCAGGATATGCCAAGACCTCTGCTGGATAATAGAGCCAAGGACATCAATTTTTAAAATTAAAAACAAAGGCCAGCTCTAGATGCTTACCTCATCTTGTCAAACTTACTAATCTGTGCAGGCATCATGACGCTACATATTTTTAATGCACCACGTAACAGTGGCTGACGGCTGCCTCCACTCCTAAAATGAATACTTCTGTGGAGGATGTACGGCAACATGAGAGCAAAGACATGGGATTATGCACTTATGCATAATAACATGCTTCAAAGAAAAATAAAGAATAAAAAATAAACAACTGTTTGAGTTCCGAGCTCTGGTATCCAAAGGCAAACGGTACTGTAAAAAGTCTGAGCCCTGAAGTCTTTTATTTAGGTTCCTACACCTCCACTCACAGAGGGAACAAAGTGCCCACAGTACAGCAGCTCTAAAATGCTGACAATTGCCAGTGCAGACAGATCGATTCCAATCTTAGCTTCGTAAGCACTGAGATCTGCTTGGGCTCCACGAAATGAACAGACATGTAAAAGGGATAAGGCAGGTTTCGAGTAAGAGTCAACTTCTTACAGAAATCACAGCAGCTTTACAGCTCTTGACTGGATGCATCTGACAACCTGTCTAATCTAGTTTACAGGACTTTCTTCCTACCTTATCTGCTCCTTTCTCGAGCTGTACTTGTACTTATCCAGGAGTTTTCAAGGTGAAAAGTCAGCCACCACACCAGTAAGTCTCCTCTTCCTAACAACTGGATAATTATTTATTTTCAGTAATTTAGCATCTTCAGTGCCTGTATGTCGGAGAAGCAACTTTGTGTGCAAAGGCAACGTGAAGCTTTACTCAAGGCTTCTGGTTAATAAAGATTATATCTACAGAAATAAATCACTATGAAAGGATTAAAAAAAAATATCAAACATTCTTTGTAATGAATTCTTGGCCTCTGAATTGATCCTGCAGTCACTTCAGAGAGTTCCCACCTACGCATTCATGCACACCGGCAGCCCAGAGATGTCATCAGGGAAAAGTGGCACAGGCTGCCCAAGGAGGCTGTGGATGCCCCATCCCTGCAGGCCAGGCTGGATGTGGCTCTGGGCAGCCTGGGCTGCTGGTTGGCGACCTGCACATAGCAGGGGGTTGAAATGAGATGAGCACTGTGCTCCTTTACAACCCAGGCTGTTCTATGATTCTGTGATTCCCTCATCTATCCTTGCAGAGAATTGGATTCAGGCGCTGCCAGAACACCAGAACTGTTTACACCTCGGCGTTTAAGGTTGATAGGTTGTTCCTGCTAGGAAAGGAGTCCAGCTGGTCAAGAGATTGACAGTGAATGAAACCTGAGGCACAGGGATGTCCAGTTCAGAGAGCTCAAACATTAACAGGGGACTTCTGCAGTGAGTGGAATTGCCTCCCGTGAGCCAGCTGAAGCAGCCTGCTGTTAGCACCCTCTGCCTGGCTGCAGCCACTCCGCTTCCCTTCATTCTCATGTTGCTCTTTCTCCATCTTGCACACAGCCCTGCCCAATGCAGCCATTAGAGCACAGGTATCAAAGAGGACCACTGACAGCAGTGCTGATCTGGACCAGTTAACCAGCAATGCCTTGGGAGAGAAAGAATCCATATTTGTGGTGCATTTAGTTTCTCATCATTAGACACTTAATTACAATACATTCCTGTGCATTCAGCAACTATCTCGAGTGCAGTGCTCTGACCCAGGTAACTAATTGCTAATGGCTTCTGCATTTTCTTTCCCTCTTGCAGCATTTCTAGTGAAGAGGTAACACACTGGGATAAGCCTCATCTGAGTGATGCCCATTCACAACAGTAGGGATCACCAAGCCAAGCTCATGCCAGATGCAGACTGCCCTGTAGCCCCATCGGATGAGAAGTTTATAAATCAAGGCAGTATTACAGCCATAAGGCTTTTAAAAAAGACCCAAATTTATTACTGCATTTAGCAGCCAAACTGATGATCAAAGCACTTAGATGTAAAACCTCTGCTCCAGCACCAGAAACAAAGCGGCAAAGGGGAACCTAGAGAAATCCCATTAAAAAAATGCATCTATCACCTCAGAGAAGTGCATTTCAGAGCCAATTTCCTCTTCCCTGCCCCACCTCAGCAAGAGCTCTTTGCACATGATGCTTCTTCATTTTTAAGTACCAACATTAAATGAAAGGACTGCCTCGGCCACTGAAGATAAAGGCACAGGTGCAGGCTTTGCATTATTGTTCCCACTAGGAGAAATGAAATTGAAGTGTTTGTGGTCTGTGTGGTTTGTTTTTTTTTTAATTATTTTTATTTCACACTGGTAGGAGTCCAGGTGATACCCTCAATGAGGGAGCAGATGGGTGCACTGCAAATAAAAAACAGCTTTTCAAAGAGCAAGGCTGAACAGTTTCTCCCTCAGTTTCAGTTCTCATTCATCCCATATGCCTGCCATTGCCCCAGGTCTGCTATGACACTGCCAGGTCATCTTCTCCTCTTCCCAATGGGGCACAGAGAGAGCATCCCAGTTGCAGTGCAAAGCTCCCCCCAGTGCAAACCCAGGAAATTTATTCCAAATACTGAAACATGAGGCAAGGACATAGATAAAAATGGAAATAGATCATTTTCTAAAAAGTCACAGAGGTGTTTTCACAGTTCAGAAGCTGCTCAGCAGCTCGTTAGAGGTGACAGGAGCAGCACTGCTGTGATGAGCACAGTGCTCACTATGGGGTCTCCAAGGCCTGACCAAGTCAGCCCCACTGTCAGCTTAGCAGGGACTCTGACCCCACAGCTCCTGAGGAAGGCATCTCACGGAGAAAAGGCAGGGCCTGCTTCAGCAAGGGAGCAGCTCTGAGAAAACAGGCGGTCACTTAAATGTGACAGAGTTGTTCCAATTAGACTTCTGAGCGACAAACTGCCTGATGCTGTTGACACTGTACCTCACCATCACTCTCCCAACAACCTTTGAGATTGGCCTGCAACATTAATGTGAGCAGACAAAACTGCTTCTGCGAGGCAGGACCCAACCGAGCAAAAGGCAGCTTCCACCACCTCAGCATCCCCATGGTAACACCCCAGCCTACGCTCCTGCTCACTTCACAACCAGCACATTCTGCAGTGGGTTTGAGGACACCTCCACACCATACCTGTGCTGTTTGAGGCTGGAAGCAGCCTGAAGCCCTGAGGTGAGATTCTACCTCCCTTTGCCGGACTGAATCCAGGTTGCGCAGGTATGCACTGGAGCAGCTGGGCCAGACCCACTGTTGGGATCCACCCCAGGATAGGGTAAGTCTCCATGGAGAAAAGGCAGGCTGCTGCTTACCTTGAGTCAGTACCTGCAGCTCCACAGCCCGGACATTGGAGAACAGAAGATCCCTTGGAGACCATGTGGTAGCTGCAGTCCCACCACTCTGGCTTCATCAAAAGCCCAGCCCTCAGAGCACTCCCCTGACCCAAAGCCTTGTGCTGGAACTTCTCAAGCTCACTGTGAGTTCCTAACAGCACGAAAAACCTTCCTGCTGCATGGCTGCTACCTTCCACACACTCATACCCGCTCCTCTGAAGTGACAACAGCCAGGGTGCAAACACCAGCAGTTGTTTCAGCGAAGTGTGTGCATGAAGCACAGCAGCATCAGCAAACACTTTTCTCCTGCCAGCATTATCCATTGCTGTTTGCTTTGGGGAAGGTTGTGAGCTGTTCCTTTCTCACTACATCTTCATTGTTTCCACAGACGGCTGAAATGTCGCAGATGAATAAAGAGAAGAAGTGCAGATGACTTGTTTGAACTTAAAAATGAAGTTTATTCCATTTTCAGGTAATGATTAATTTTGGTCTGTGCTGATACAAAGCTCTCCCAGTAGCATGCTGTTTTTGCTAATAACCACAGTGAACGTGAGTCAAGATCCGCCAGGCATCTCTGGCCCAAGGCCCACCATCACTGCAGCACTGAGCACACATTTTACTTGCTGGGATCTCCTCTTCTGCTTGAATCCCAGCTCATGTACTGCCACTCCCCCCATGCAGGAGGAATATCTCAAGAACTCCATTTGCCATTGTTCAACTTCATTGCCCCCGTGCCAACTTCTCATAGTTTCAATATATGGGTATAAAGAAATCTAAATCTCAGTGTGGGCTTCTGACACCTAAGGTGGGAGATGGGGACTCTGGTAATCTCTAGAACTCTTCATCTCATGAGCACTGGTGAGACCCTGAGTCGTTATTTTTTAATACATTTTACTCTCTCCAGCCTTTTTACATTCACCTTTTACAACACTCCAGTCCTCTTCCCTGTCTTTCTTCTCAGCCTGTCACAAGGGGCACCCATTCCTCCTCTAAAGCCATTCCACAGACAGGATGGGAATATATCAGAAAGCTACAAGAGCCAGCAAGGACTTTGCAACAGCCTTGTAGTTAGAATGAATGCTCAACATGGGAGAGTGCTCTTCCTGGGAGCCTTCCCAGAGCTTCAGTCTGCATGAATAAAGCAGCACCGAACAGGGCCAGCAGAGGAGCAGGAGATGTCCTGGTCCTTAACAGATCCAGCTCCCTTAACAGATCCATGCTCTGTCAGCTACAGTAGAGCCCAACCCTCCTTTTTTGCCGAATTCCTCTGAATACCTTAAGGATCAGGAGGAAAACAACAACAACAACTGAGCAATCCTAAGGGGTCAAATCCAGCCTGATCCAAAAGGGAAACAAAGGGAAGAAAATTGGTATATTGCCACCCCTGCAGTAACCAGACAGAACAGTCAGAGCACACTGAGCCACGCACCGAAGAGGAGGTAAATGTTCCTCCTGAGTCACCCAGAGAAACCTCCTCCAGGATAACGCCCTGAAGACCTCCTGGAGCTAATTGCAGTATTTCTGAAACCTGATGCTCTCAGGCCTCCTATCAGGAATAATCAGAAACTGTAACCAACAAACACTCCTCCCCTTCTCCTGCTACACCCTGCAGCATCCTGCCACCCTCTTTACCTCCAAAGGACTCTAAAACAGTCAAAGCAGAACTGATGATCCTCAGAGAACAAAATGCAGCAGAAATGAAGCAAGCTGAGGCAGCCTCTGCACATGTGGCATCTCCATGCAGATGGAGGGTCTGCTGTGCCTGCCTGAGCAGTTACCAGGCAGCTCTACCCTTCTGCCCAGGAGCTGAATTAGCAGCTAAAGCAGCAGGAGAACAGATTCACACCTGGTCACAGACCTATCTCCTTCCATTCACTTTTAGGGTACTGCCTTAATCCCAGCTGCAGTCTGCTGGCACTGCAGGGAGCATCCCCACAAACACCAGGGGTTACTACAGCAGAAAGCAGACCTACATCACCAGGTAGACACTCACAGTAAGAGCCCAGCTAGAAGCAGACACACAGGCACTGAGGACTCATTTCTACAGCGTGCTGAGCTTTCTGCACCAATACATGCAAGTGAGAATTTAACTACAGGATACCAGTGGGTGTGTGCAGCCACGACACTGCTTCTTCCCTGCTCCCTTCAGCCAAGCTGGTGAGCTGGAGCAGCCTCAGCCGCTCCTAGATAAGTGCTCCATCCTCAACTGATGTCAAAGAACCCTTCATTTGTTCTGTAGGAGTCATCAGATCAAAGCTAGCCACACAGCTCACACTCTGCTGAGCCAAAGGTGGAGTGTTCAGGAACTCGTAAAGCAGTGCTGAGGCACACAGGATTTCTGCAGGAAGAAAAGAGCTGATTTCTCTCATGCTGCACAACTGGGACGAAGAAAAGGGAGACAGATTTTCTATGTCCAACATTTTTATAGGAGAGCATCCATTCTCCCATAGTTACAAAGAAATGCTACAGACTGTTAGACTGTATGCTGCAGAATTTCAGTAGATGACTTTAAAAGTATTTTTCCCCCTTTCCTATAAACATTCAGATTCATTTCTAGAGAGCTTTATTAATTTATTTCCCACTCAATGCTGACGGATCCCACAAAGGATTTTGGTATATTCATGCGAACCTCTCTCTGCTCAGTTCTTATGTATAAGATAATTAAATTCACTTGGATCCAAATGGGAATTCCTGCTTTCCCTGCAGGAAAAGACAGAAACAGCTGCAAAAATAGCCCTGATAAAGGCTGCTTTTGCCATTCAGGAACATCTCTGAAGTCTGTCCAAACTTCACCTCCCCTCTGCCTCACCACACAGACTCTCCATCTCAGCTGCTCTGAACCCCAGCTTTCTCCTACTCTCTTCTCCCTCCCTCACCACCACGGGTCATTCTTATACCAAATACTCTCAGTAAGTAATGTGTCACTGGAGTTTCTTAAGGCTGTAGGAAAAGAATATATAAATCTCAAAGAAAACAGCAGTATATTGTCTTTAAGCTCTTCTACTCTCAAACTTAGCACAATTCAGCCAAGGACAACTTGAAGGTCATCAGAACAAATCCAAAGAAAAAGGCTGGGACTCCATCTGGTTGACATACACCAGTGTGACTGGGCTTGCTCTTTGAGTAAGAAGCATTTTCTACTTGTGCAGGTCTAAACAAACATACAGTTTACATACGATGTAAACATGACTCTACGTTGCATTCTATTTAATACATTTATCTCCATGGAAGAGTTCAACACTACAGAACACCTTGATATTTATCCACACAAGACTTTCTGTGGAGTCTTTTGCAGCGAATTTAACATCCACAAAATGTTTTCTTTTCTCAGAGAGAAGACACAGCCCTCCCAGATGCCCCCAGCCCATCAAACAGAACCCACCGCAGGCTGACAGGAACAGTTTCTGTGTCTAAAAAATTAATACATTAGCTAGCACATGCTGGTGTCCTCAACCTGGCAAGGCAAACTGCATTTTAACCTCTGCTGAAGAAAACCCCGGGAAGAAATCCAAAGGTTACCTCTACCAGGAAAGACAGATTGCTGCACATACACTATGCACAGCAACTCATGTACCACAACTCATATTTTTTTTATTCCTCAGTGAAAGCAAGACCTAGGAGTAACAAACCAGAGCAGAAGCCTCGTGCAGTGCAGTTTTTCATTCTTCAGCTGAAGTGTCATCCAAGGACATCAGCTCGAGGAGCGAATTTATGGCAGGATGCACTGGAACTGAGCTTGTCCCCACAGCCACCCAATGCTTGAATCACCAAAGTGCCTTTTCTCCTCATGGGCCTCACACGGATCCACAGGGTGACTCTCCAGCCCCTCCGCTGCTGGGATCTCACACTGGCCCTTTGTAGTAAGTAAGTCAACACACTTTAATTCTAAGGCAGAAGTGGGTGCATGCACATGCAGACAAAAACAACGTACATCATCTCTTACCTGAGCCATTTCTGCCTTCAGGATGATTTTGTGAAAGGTATTCTCCAAAAGCCCTTGCCGCTCTGTGCATCCAAGCATCACCGACAAAAGCAGTAAGAGAAAGAAGAGATGGACAGTGGTTGAATTCCAGGGAAGGAAGGAACAGTTCAACACACACTGCTGTCTTTCCCTCAGCTTCAGCTGACATCAACTGAAACAAGCTGCAGTGGCAGCTCCTCTATTAACACACCTCAGCTTTTCCCCAGCCAAAGCATTTCCTTAAACAGAGTTGCACTACAACCCTGGCAGAGAAACAACAGACAAAACCAGTGGTAAGACAGAAAAAAAAAATTCTCTCGTGTGCAACTTGGCCTGGTTTCTGCGGTGCCTGTATCTCCCAGTTAGGAGCTGGATCACAGCTCCAAGCACCACGATCACAGCTCCTGCAGCCCTGAGGGGAAGGAAACCCATCCCAGTCCCAACCATCACCACAGTCTGTCTTCTACTCCGGTTACAAGTGCTCTTATTTGTGAACAATCATACCTAGATATTAATGCTAACACCCATTTCACCTGCCTGATCCCTAAATTATCCATCACCAACAACGTCAGTATTTGGACCACTGGCAACCCATAAAAACCTCTTGCTGTTCTTCAATAGATTTAGGTCCCATGAATGACTGAGATTTTACTGAAATATATTACAGCTCAACCAGGGAGAGTGAGCTCAAACCTTACTGCACATCAAGAGAGTGAAACTACAAATATTCCAACTTGGGAGCTCTCTGCGTTTAACCCACAGAGGAAAGGAAAGGTCAAGGCACGCATTCCCTCATATAAATACTGGGTGGAGACTCACGAACAGCAAGATCAAACAGGCACCCACCTCCCTGGTAAGTCAAGCCAAGCACTCAGCCTGCTAGCACACAGACAGCTCTTGTGGAGGAGGAGAGGAAGACATGGGACAACTGGGAGGATTTTCCATGCCTCGAAACATCCCACCCCAGTTCTAGATGCTATAAAAGACTAAGCTCCGGAAGGTGCTACATGTCTAAGTGAAAGCAGCTTTGACCTCCAAATCAACCTACTGCCTTGCTACCCAACACCACTGCACATCTCAACCTGTGTGGCCAGGATTTTCTCCCATTGCTTTCACTCGTCTCCTCCCAAAGGGAGGTACAACGTACCTCTCAGTGACCACAACTGGAAGGAGTGGGAAGTGCATTTGTCAACCACAGCCAGCTAAAGAGGATTGATGTGAAAGATTAAAGAACAATTTAGTCTCTTTGGAGCAAAACTTCAGCGCAGACAAATCTGAAGAGCTCTGATGCAGCACAGCTACAGCTGTGCAAGAAGAAAAGTTTAACCCTTCTGCATCATTACAGGCCACATGCAGCGCCGAGGTTTTTCTTTTATCCAGGTTCCTGCTTGTCTGGGACCAGGATGTACTTCTAACATCAGCCTGAGGTGCCAGCTGCCCAAATTGCATTGCCCAAAGCCTACACACCCCCAGAGATGGTCATGCACAGTCATGTGGAAGAGCTGTACAACTAGCACAGCAGTCTGCAAGGAGCAAACTGTCATGGTTCACCCAGGCAGGAGGACAGCACCTCATGAATCGTCCTTGCATCCACTACCCTTTGGTCTCAGCAAAATGCAGAACTTGGTCTTGGGGCAACAGAGAAAAACTTGAGAGCTGAAGCTGCTCTTGCAGCCCAGCAGAGAAGGGCAGAGGCTCAGCCAAAAGCCAGGACTGGGCTCACTGGCAGCAGGAGGCTATGCTAGAGACTTCCAGCCTCTCTTCCACTAGACAGCAGGACACACATCCTCCAAAAAGGCTTCAAAGTTTATCCAGAGCAACATCAGTCACTTAATCGATGAAAATAATAATGAGAAAAATATCAGGGAGAGAGCACAGGGACTTGCACTAAAAGATACTCTAAAATTCAAAGATAAAGTTTAGTTTGTAACTAGTTCAAAAGCTCCAAGAGCACCTATCGCTTTCCTCCATTCATCTCCACCAATGCCTGATGCAGAACTGTCTGCTTTAGAACATGATCCAAGGCTTCACCTTTAGCTTGCAAACCATGCTCAAAAAATTAGCACCAATCGTTACTTAAGACCCAACATACAAATGATGGGCCAGAGGAGCACTGCTGCACTCCATCCCTCTCATTCTAAGCAAAAACAGTCATCCAGAGCCCGAGCTCAGAGGTGCTGCACAGCCTCCAGCCTCCCCCTTCTCATCCCCAGCAGACGGGGCAGCAGGGCAGAACCTTGCAGGCCAGATCCCAACATCTCAGCACTCTCCTCACAGAGCAGAAGCACGGGGCTACTCAGAAACATGCTGCCAACACCAGCTGAGCCCGCAGCTCCGTCCCTGCCATCCCACTGCACTGCTCTTCATGCTGCTGGTCAGCCTAAGAGCAAACAGCCCTGGATGCCTGATCACAGCTCTCCAGTGACAGTTAATAAGCCAGCGAAGCCTGCAAAGCACAATGTGCAATGGGGGTTTTCCAGCCAATTGCACTGCAAACTCCAGATTAATTGTTTGCCTATTATCACAGTGGTTCCCTTCTACATTTCTGCCTCTCAAGTGCCACTGAGGCTGTGCCTCAGCAGATCTCCCACAGATGCCCACACATGCCTCTTGCCAAGGGCACTCGGATGGCCACACTCATTCCTTATGCCTGGCCTCACCTTGCCAAGCCTCCTGTCCTCCTTCCCTGCCCTCGCTGTGCTCACTCACCCCAGTTTGCCAGCACCTGCCAGCATCATTAATGTGCCATTCACCGTCCCTGGCTATGTGCTGACATGATTGAAATAAAGCAGAGCAAAACTCAAGCAGCTGGTAACTGCTCTATTCTGTGTCTCAGCCACTACAGCCAAAAAAGCCCATCAAGCCCTCTGATGGTTCTGGACAGTAACCCTTCTGCTGGGCTGGAAAGAGACATGTGATTTAACTTGTAAGAGAAGGAAAAAAGAAATTTGTTTCAGACGAGTGAGATGAAGTGCAAGGTGCCTTACATGGACACAAGGAGATGAGCTATAGCCCTGCGCGTGTGACACTGTGAAAGCAGCATACAAATGAGCAGGTAGCTACTGAGAGGCGATCAGCTGATGCCACAAGTTCAGCCCTGACTCATCTAGAGGAAGGTTTTCATTTTGGTGACAGACCAGACCTGCACATAACACAGTCAGTACAGTTTGATGTAACCAGACATCAACCAGAACCCACTGCCTCGGTGCACTGAGCTATTGAGTGCAACCAGCAAGGAGAATGCTGCCTGCGCCCCAGAGGAAACACTACTGTCTTCTTTGGCTTCTCCTCCAACAGAACTACTTCCAGAGTGCAGAGGGTGGGGTGGAACAACGCAGGCAAAGGAAGCTGCCCTTCTGCAGTCATCTCTCAGCACTCACAGTGCTGGTGTCAGGGCTGGAGCCGTGCATGGAAGACTGAGATCTGGCAGAGAAGCAGAGAAGGTTTAGACAAACATTTGCTAGAAGGAGGAAAGCCGCCAAATAACAGAGATATCAATTACAGCGTGATGAGTGTGGAATAGCCTTTATGTCTCTGAAATAATCACATCAACAGGATAAAAGGAGCCTTGATGTGTACTGGCAGCTACGGGAAATTGATGCACACAAATTTATGCACTCCTCTAAGCTGACACTGAAGTAAGCTAAAAAATGTGTATTGAAACGCTCAGAAATACATGAAAGCACTGTGGTAACTCCATTTTGAGCACTGCAACAGGATAAGCAAAAGTCAGAGTACTCAGACTTTTATTGTACTGAAAGAGAAAAGCACACCTTCTCGTGCATGTTGAGAAGTAGCGCTCAGGAGGTGCTGCAGGAATCTGCTGTGACAGCATGTGACAGTGCTGGGCATCAGAAAAACAGGAGCAAGAGAGCCCTGCACCATTGGGACTTACATCCAACAGCAGCCCTGGGAGCACCACAGCATGTCCATCCTTAGCAGCTCCATCACACAGAAACCACTGATGCTCACAGTGGTTAAACCCCACGTCGGCACCATGCTGACAAAAGTTGGCCTGCAATAGCTAAGTAACAGAAAAACTGTCACTCTCGGGAAAAGGAAAACCACTGCTGAAATCCTGAAGTCAAAGTTTGCACCGTCTCAGAGGAATTTATATTTACAAAGCTCTGACAGGAGGAGAGAGAACAGAGCAGGTAATCAAAACATGGGAGTTCATACCATCCACGGGAAAATTCACAAGCAGAAAAAAGGAATCCAGACTCCACTAAGAACCCCGACCTAAGCCAGAAATGACTCGACAGTAAGAAACCTGAGGTAAGGAGTGCATTTGGGTATCTCGGTATTTTGTCAGCGCAAGACAGACACTTTCTGAGCCTTTGTGGACTTGTTTTAAACCATCCTATGGCCTCAACAGTCAGCAAAGGGGGAGCGAGGCAGAATTCTCCTTTCTGCAAACACCAAAGTCCCGACACTTCGGTGTCAGATAAAGCACATACTCAATTCACACATGTCCCGTGATAACTACGTCAAGGAGAAGTTCTGGAACATCCAGCAGAAGCCTCGTGTCCTCTACAAGCACTGCTGCACTCCCCACAGGAAAGCTACAAATCAGAGAAATACCAAGTGGAGCTGCAGTTTATTGCCACATCTGGGATGTCAGCATCGTTCTGTAGGGCTAAAGGCAGTGAGGACAGAGAGAGCCATTTCTAAAGGCTTTGGTTCGTCTCTGCCCTTGAAAGCAAGCTGAGGAAGCCAAGGAGAGCGTGTCCGATGGGAACATGCAGACACCCAAAGCACAGCAGCCAGAGCTGCTGGCAGAGGGGCAGCACCAAGGTCACAGCGCAAGGACAAGGACACATCCCTGCCATCCGCAGGCATGCCCCGGGAGCTGCAAGGCAAAAAAAAAAGCACACACATGAAAGACAGAGCACGACAGCAAGATCTCACAGCCACACGATTAAAATCTGAGCAAAGCAATGCCGCTGAGCCAGCACCACTTTCAGGGTGCCAGACTGGAGCTGTGTGCTGCAGCTTCCTCAGGAGAGGACAGGACAGCAGAAACTGAAGACACAGCAGCATGGATGCCCTCAGTGATGCTAATGCAGAGCAACTTTGCCATTATTTTTGAGGAGCTATGTAAAAGTCCTAGCACACAACACACTGCGTGGAGCTTAATGAATTCTCCTGGGACAGGTGATCCCCTGAGCACTCTGCAGAGATTTTAATTGAAGAAGCTTGGGCGCGTGCCCCTTCTGCTTGGATCACATCCCTCACAGTAGCAAACAAATGATGCTCCCCGTTCAGTAAGAGGGGCGAATGTGCACACACACTCCAGCTGCATGCAACAAAAATACATCAGCAGCTGCTTGAACTTGCAGTGCATTTCAGGATGCGATTTTTTCCTTTCAAAAAGTCACCTGCCCCAGGTGAAATACGGACAGCAGAGCTCAAGAGCTGCTGGGAAATAATCCCAGAGCATCTCTCCCTGCAGCATAAATGCAAGGCCCCAAAACTGACTACATGAAACTGAGGGGGGCCAGATCATCGCAGCAGCATTACCCACGCAGGTGATCCAAGCCCCCAGCCCTCTGGGGAAGGGCAGAGCAGCATATCTGCGTGCCTTACCTACCATCCTGCAAAGCCCTCTCTGTAAAGAAATGAGATGAGGACATGTGGGATGCAGAAGGAGGACCCAGGGCAGAGGAGAACAGACAGTGTGCACTGGGAAGCTTGGAGAAACCTTCCAGCAGGTGGATGCTGTCTGCTGTAGAAATGCTGAGGATGGCTGTGACTGCACAAGGCAGAGGCTGACACGTGCTGCTAAAAGCCAAACCAGCAGTGCTTGCTCCCCACCAGCACCACCTTCACACAAAGGAGCAACGCAAGGAGCTCTGTGTTCCCTGCCCTCCCCAAAGGCTTCTTCAATTGGACATTCATTCAGCTGGACAGAGCAGCACTGCATAACGGCCAGCCTGACCACCCCTCAGGGACTTCATGTTTCACAGCCCACCCTCCCAACCCCTCTGGTCAAAGCACACGATTCACACCCCTACCAGACACCTCCGAGCTCCCACGCAGCAGCAGCAGCCGCCTGTCAGTAGCTGCAGCACACACATAGCAAACCAAAACCTGAACTCTGCAGATTTCACACTACACGAGTAGTGTGCCCATCCTGATGTGGGCAGTTGCATTCCAAATGCGCTAGCTGCTCTCAAACACCCACACTACCATTTGAAATCTTCTCGCCTGTTACAGAATATGCTGTTTGTGTGCCTGACTGCCTAATCGTACACCCAGAGCCCCATTACAGCACTCAAGGTGCATTTTATGTCATTTCTTTCCAACCACCTGGCTGACATCTGCCAAAAAGAATCTCACTGCCGAACCTCTGAACACCACCGAAAGCGCTCATGTTTTCAGCTATGAACACAGCACACTGCAACGTGGGGAGAAGTTCCACGTTCTGCCTCGACAGCTTTCTCCAGATGCACTCCAGAATTTACAACACACAAGGACAGCACCACACAGACAGCTTTGGTGGTGCTCCCTTCAAGCCCTCAGAGCTTCCATGGACAGCGAGATGCCGTAATGCTGAGCCCCAGCCTCACAGAGGTGACGGCAGCACAGATCAAGCCCTACACACCACTCCAGGCTGTTCCGAAGCAATTCTGTCTGACACAAAGGAGGTTACATAACGTAGCTGAAAAGTTTATTTCTTCCCTTTTTCCCCAGCAGCACAGAGCTCATCTGGATGTAGCAAAGCCCCGGACAGACCTGCCCAGCACACAGCTGTGCTGGAAGGGACCCTGAAGAGCTGCTCCATGCCCTGACACCCAGCTGCAGTGAGGCAGGAGGATCGAGTCCGTCCTGCCCAGCAATGAGCAGAGCTCCTCCGCGATGGCTTTGTGAACCGAGGCACGGTCACCCACCAACACGTTTTGTAGGATGTCCTACGCTCATAAGCACCACGGGCTACAAGCACAGTCAGCGAAACCCTACGCTGTAAGGCAAGCACAAAAGCACGACAGGACCCACAGCCACAGAACCCAAACCTCTCACTGCTCAGCACGGCGGCTCCGGGCACTGCAGAAGCGGGCAGATCCGATGGGTTCTGCAGCGTGTTTCCCAGGGCTGAGGGATGCTCCCGCAGCAGGTTTCCCACACAGCAGAACGGGAGCCCTTAAGGAACGCTGCCCCCGGGCGCACAGATGGCATTTCAGCCGATTAAAAGCCGGCCAGCAGACTGACGGTTTGCGAAGCCCCAGAGCTCCGCTCTGCCGGAGCCTCGGACGGTGCGGGCGCAGCGGTGACCCGCACACACGGCTCAGCGCCGGGCGGGGTCCGCCGAGCCTCCGAGCCGCCTTCGTAGGGACGCGCCCCCCACCCCCATCCCACCACCCACCTCACTTTGGCCGCCACCGACGACATGGCCTCGTTCCTCAGCGTCTTCCTTTTGGACACGGCTGTGCCCATATTCGCGCGGGGGATGACTGCCGGAGGAGCGCTCATCGCACGAGCCCGAGGCCGCCCATGCCGCGGCGGGGCCGGGTGCCGGGCCGCTCCCCGCGCTCAGCGCCCCGCCATGCCGCCCCGCTGCCCCCGGCGAGTGCGGCTCTCCGCCGCGGCCGCTGCCTGCTCATTGACTGCGGCAGGAGGGAGGGCCAGGGCGCGGCCAGCCGCCCAGGAAGCGCCGCTATATTTGGCCGCCGGCTCCCTCCTCCGCCCCCGCCTCCTGACATCATGGCGGGCGGCCCGAAGGGGCGCGGAGCTGCGCTGAGGTGAGGCGGTGCGCGCCGTCGGGTTTAACGCTGCTCGGTTGCAAAGCGCTCCGAGGGCGGGCAGGCGCTGGTGGGCTCTCTAGTGACAGCGGTGGAACCTGAAGCTGCTGAGGAAAAGGTCATCCACCGAGAAGGTGATCGGGCACTGCGGCAGCCTCCCCTGAGGGCTGCTCGTGGCCCCTGGCAGAGCTCAAGGAGCGGCTGGGCAACGCTCTGCAACGTATGGTCTGACCTTTGGGTGTCCTGTGTGGAGCCAGGAGTTGGACTCCATGATCATTATAGATCCTTTCCAACTCAAGATATTCTGCCTTGCTTTTTCTTCACCTAGGTATGTCACTGGCTCACTGCCCGTCAGAGAGCTTTTATGGCAGAGATGGAAAATCTGGAAAACAGAATCACGGAACCACCAAGATTGGAAAAGACCTTCAAGATCATCCAGTCCAACCATCCACCTATCACCAATAGTGCTCACTAAACCACATCCCTCAACACAAAATCCAAACTTTCTTTGGGCCCCATCAGGGTCGCTGACTCCACCACCTCCCTGGGCTGCCCATTCCAGTGCCTGAACACTCTTTCAGAAAAGTGGTATTTCCTAGCATCCAGCCTAAATCTGCCCTGGCGCAGCTTGAAGCCACTCCCTCTAGTTCTATCACCGGTTACACGAGAGAAGAAGCTGACCTCCAGCTCACAACAGCCTCCCTTCAGGCAGTTACAGAGAGCAGTAAGGTCTCCCCTGAGCTCCTCTTCTCCACACTGAACACTGCCAGCTCCTTCAGCTGCTCCTCATCAGCCCTGTGCTCCAGACCCCTCACCAGCTTTGTTGCCCTTCTTTGAACCCGCTCCACGGCCTCGATGTCTTTCTTGCAGCGAGGGGAATCAATGCAGACTTATCTTAATTTCTTGAAGAGTTCTTGTAATTATTTGGTTCTATTAATCTACAACTTGGAAAGCAAAGCAAGTCATTTAGAGAGCAGAAAACCCAACTGCTCCGCTGTGTACAGACACAAGAATCTCACTGCCTGGGTTTTATCACACAAAGCACCATGAATAGCAAACCTGCAGAAATGCATCTCTGCTTGGATACCAGCTGTGAGAGAAAAAGTTCCCCGTGTGTAGAATGAAGATATCACCCTGCTTTTTAGTTTAGACTGAAGGAGAGGTGCTAAATGGCATCAGCCTCTCCATCACTGCCACCGGGAGAGCTGGTCACCGTGCCCTGCTCACTTGTCAGGGCTGCTCACACTGACATCACTCGTCCCATGGGGTTTGCAGCCCGAGCAGGATGAGCAGGGCTCAGCTGTTACCCAGTGACAAACTAAGTGATGAGGTGATAAATGCTATAATCTCGCTGCGATGTGCTAATATCAGAGAGCAGTTAGGGCAGGTGTGCCTCAGTCCTGTGTGCTGGAAGTGAGGATGGTAGAGCTGCCTGTGTAACTCAGTGCCCAGTCTTATTAGCCCTGCCACAAACAGCCATCTGGAGGTGCACACACTGCCACAGCCCAAGCCTTTTACGGTGCTTACCCCCACTTTTCTTTTTACCAAATAACTGGAGGAAAAAATGCTCTTTATTCCATAATATTTAAATATTTTGCCTGTGGTAGAAAATGCTGTTCAAAAACAGAAGAAAATCAACAGACCTTTCTACTCTAACCCTACATAATCCCCCCCAGATCTACATGGGAACACCCTGAAGTTCCCATCAGTGATATGGTTTGGATCCAAAACAAGACCCAGCATCAATGTACTGGATTTCTTCTCACAGAAGGAGATCCCCATTAAACATCTAACAGTCATAAGCCACCCCCCCTAATTTTTTATTTTTATTTTTTGTACACCAAAGTGTTTCTCCAACAGAAAGTAAGAGAGAATCCATTTGTTTTTAGGGAACTCCTTAAAAAAACCTCTGCTGTGTATGTGAACCATGCAGTTGGTTACAGTGAGTGAAGCAGTGCTCAGTACTGTCAGTTCCAAAATGTAAGAGAAGGATGCCTCCACCTTCACCCCACTTTCAGGCCATATCTCTCACCTGTGCTCCTCTGGGAGCTCTTTCAGATGCCCTCATCCATCACTCAGCAAGCCTCAGTGCAGGGCTCACCTCAAGGCACTGCTCAGAGCTTGGCTGGATCTTTGGATTTTGGAGATCTCCAGTGTCCATCTCAGTGCTATGCCACTCTCACAGAGGCCTTTCTTCTTGACTGATCATAATTCTTTTCTCTTGTTGCAATTCATACCCAGTGCCTGTGCACCCCTGCGGAGGGCCCTGCTCCATCACTCCCTGGCCCCTGCAGGCACTGGCCCATCTCCCTGCAGTTTCCATCTTGCGCTCTGCTCCCTTCCCCCACCTGCACTTTGGGTTTCCTCTCTGCTTTCGGGTTTCTCCTGGTATCTGGGGGTTCAGGCAGCCCAGTGTGACAAAGATGGGGATGCAGCCATTGTGCCAAGCGCCTACAGCTCATTAAAGCTGGCGAAATGCCTTTACTTCGTGCTAGGAAAAGAGTCAGGCGAGCCAGGCAGACAGTTCCCCATCACTTCTCCATGGCAACAGGCCTTCCAGATGCATGTAGGCAAACAGGCCGAGGAGGCAGGGAGCATCACAGTCCCTGTGCCCGTACCCCAACCCTCCTCTGGTGGGGCTCCCTGCTGAGCTTGCTCCATGCTAGGGGAGCACAGCCCTAAACTGCTTCAAAAACAATCATAGCTTGTCAGAGAAATGCTCTCCTCCTTCCACTGGTGAAAATGAAACATTCCGAACCTGATACAGGCAAAATTCATCCTAGCCACTGATGATTTTTTATCTATATAAATGTGTCATGCTTGAAAAGCCTGGTATTATTGAATCCTTGCAAACCAAAAAACATGTATTAGTCTAATATGAGATCCTGAATCCTATGCCTTGTTAGGTCTAAGATGAGAAGGGCCGATGACCTTCAGATATTAAGGTTGCAGTCTTCTAATGCTTAGAAAAGTAATTTTTGTCTAAATGAGCAAAAGAATGAGTGTCCTGACCATTTAAATTAAAAATAAAATAACATAAAATGGAAATAAAGCAAGCAAAAAACAGTTACATAAACCACTGACAAAAAGCAAAACCAAACAACAACAAATACTCCTCAAACACATGGAGCACAGAAACCCTGCTGGCGAGTCAGAAGCTGGCCATGGTGCAACAAGAGCTCTCGCAGGAGGCAAGGTGGGAACAAAAAAAAGAACAAAGTGGATGTTTTGCAACCTTAGTCAGTGAGGACAAGCTCTGAGAAGTGCTGTGCCAAAGTTCTGTATAAGGACACAGGATTTGACTTACATTCAAGCTGCCTGCTGAGGAAGTTGAGGAAAAAATAGCCAAACCGAAGAGTACAAATTCACCAGGCTGAAGTGGCACTCACTGAAGTGCTCAGGATGAGGAACCCAGGTGACATAATTTAATTACATAATTTAGCATGTAACCACTGTGCATGGCAGCCTCCACGTCTGAGAGCTGCAAGGTAACAAATAGGAAGGGTTTGGGGTTATTACAGGCTGTGAGGTATCTCTTGAACAAAGTGAAAGAATATTGGTGTGCCTTTGAATACATCTGATACATTGGAGAAAAAAAAAAGTGAAAAAAGGTGGTTTTCCTTCTATAAAGGAACACCTCAAATCTACTGCCATTCTTTAGAGGAGTTTCGGTCTGCACTCTTCAGTGTGTTCGTAAATAATCTTGAAAATGAAGTGAAAAAAAGGAATGGCAACTTGCTGATGATGCTGAGATATTCAGAGTCATAATACATGAGATGCTGTAAGGATTTATACAAGGACCACATGATAGTGAAAAACTAAGTAATAAAATGGCTCAGGACATCCAGTCTAGATAGTTACAAAGATAGGCGGACAGGAGAAAAACAGCACTGGGCTCTGCACTGATCCTTATCCTGAGAAATGTCTTTTTCTCCCAGGTTCACCTGCATCTCATCCGCACCCAAGCTGCACTTGTGCATCACAGGCTGATCACCGGCTTTGGGTTTAGTGCAAACCCAGGGAAGAAAACTGCAGTATGGTAAGCATAAAACCAGGACAAAGCATGATATTTGATTGGCCATGTGTGGTGACTGTATTTTGGCAGTTGTACAAGGGCAGAATAGCAGGGTAGCAGTGCCAAGGGAGATGTGGGACCCCCACCCTAGGGACATTTCCCAGGGCTGTACACTGCTGCACGAACCAGCAGTGGGGTGCTCCCAGGCAGTTGCTGTGCTCAGACCAGCAGTGCTGTGAGCACTGGCTCAGGCAGGGATGTTTTTAGCCCCCCGCCCTCTGTTGCTGTCATTCTGCACGAAACATTTGGCTCGAATGTGGTAACAATGGAAGGGCAAAGCACTGGCTTGATGTCACAACATCCCAATTCAGCTCTTCTGCCAAGTCAGAACAGCCCTGAGAGATGGTGATAAAATCAAGGTGGGGGGGAAGCTGGAGGAGCTGTCTGGGTTTATCTGTACAGCAGTGCATGGAAAGAGCTGGAGGACAACAGTTCTTGTATCCAACTGCGGTGGGAAGCTCAAGCTCTCCCAGGTACCAGGAGGTCGCTAACCTACCACCTAGCTGCCTTCCCACTTGGTTAATTTGGCCACTTCGAGACGTTCCTGTTGAATCCATCGATTAGAAACCTCTCTAACGAGGCACTGTATGTAAATAACTCTCCCCAAACTGGAATAATTAAAATTAAGCAATACATCACAGAAGCAATATCAATAG